AACACTACGCTTTGGAGTTCATACTACTGACGCAGCCCTATTTTCTTGGGCTCACCGTAATTTAGCCATGTATTTTTTGACTTTACAAGTTGAGATGTTTTCAAATGTGTTTTCAAGAACTATCTAAAAATACCTTTTTAAATTTAAGAACAATAAACAGTTACTTCACTACCAGTTATTATTATTATTATTATTATTATTTGTCCTTTGACCATCTGATCTTCAGTATCGAGAGTAGGTAGTTGTTGATGAATGTCTCTAGTTTGTTGGATATCCCTTTCGTAACGCGCCAAGTCTCTCAACCACATGAAAGCACTGACTTGTCCCACATGCTGAGTGCATAAGATCTCCACACTGGTTTCAAGTTGATGAACGCTTGTCTTGCTTTCTCGACCCTGGCTGCTTTGACGTCCTCGTCTGTGCCGCCACCTGTAGTTGAAACAGTGCTGCTTAGATAGGTGAAAGAGGCTACTTCTTTTTAGTTTCCCTCGTTGATGGTGCTTGTTGATGATGCTGTTGTTGTTTGGGTATCTTCATCACCTGTATCTCCGTCTTCTCGACATTCACTTGAAGTCCCGTCTTCGCTGCCCTACCTTACCTCTTCTGTCAACTTGTTAGTTTTCGCCTGTAGATCTTCTAGTTTGTGTGACATTAGACACAAGTCATCGGTGAAATCCAAATCTTCCAGGATTTTTTTCCCGGTCCAGCGTATCCTCATCTCCAGTTAGTCTAAAGAAATTGATTGGTTTGAAGATGATCCTCAATATTCAGTGAAGTCAGTTGATGAGTCTTTCAGAACTAAGGAGCATGAAAGAATTGAACGACTGGTAAACAGGGTTCACATTTATGGAGTAAACTGTTATTATTACGCTGATTACAACACACACATACACACAAAGAGATACAAACCAATGAAGAACATCGCATTGAAAAGGAATTTTATTAACGGCAATCCTTCCCATTAATTCAAGCTTCTAATTAATAAGAAATGTAGATCCCAACATCCACACTAATTTCGAGTTAGATATTATCAAACTAGTAGACGTTAGTTGGTTGGAAACAATCGGCAAGAAGCCTTGGACCTAGGTCTTTTGCATTTTGGCACTCGTCAGCAACCTCGACGGAACTCAAGTCCCGCCTGAGATTCGAACCCGCGTTACTCAGTGTTGCAGTCAACAAGTTTACCATTGAGCTATTCAGGCCGCGATTGACCTCCTGTAGGACTGGGTTACATGTATTGATTGGTCAAAGGAGTGCAAACAACTTCATGTTGTCTAGTCCTGAGTGCAGACGGAATCCTATCGATCATAATTGCAATGGGGCAACCAAGCTAGGAAGCTCAGCATCGCGGTGCACATTGGTAGATGTTAGTTGGTTGGAGTCAATCGGCAGGAAGTCCTGGAAGTAGGATTCGGTCTGCACTCAGGACTGGACAACATGAAATTGGTTGCACTCCCGTGACCAACCAATACAATATCAAACTATTTCCAGTTATTTACTTTATATCATCTCAATTTGCCTGCATGCTTTACATATCTACATATAAACTCGAAAAACAGAAAATCATCATGATCCAACTGTGAAAAGAAATCTAACCTAATTATGCAGCAAGTTTCTGCGCCATTTGCTAACAACACAATCTAGTCTTTCACTTTAATTAGTGAACTTCATTTAAGTATAGGTAACCTTTCCGTCAGGTGCATTACCTAATCCTTCCATGACTATTGTTCACTTTCAGTTACCTAGAAAAAACTCCTAAATTCATCAGTTAATTTCCACAATCCCGAGTAATAACCATTCCCAATCTCATACATTTAGTTCCCGTGACAAATTTGAACAAAGAAAGAAAACAAAGACAAAGACAATTAGTCCATTTTACTTCACGGGCTTTCATCAGCTGAAAATAGTCTACAATTGAAACTAAGTATTAGTGGTAATAATGATGTGGTATGCTTTAAATTTGTAGATCTAAATGAAAATTTGACAGAGAAGGTACATGAAGGGTTTCCTGAAAATCCAGAGGAGCATATATGCAACCTCTTCAATATCACACTAAATAAGTTGGAATGTAAAGCTCCATCTCTTGGATTTAAATTTCATATCCCATAAGATCATCTTAATCGAATTGATATGGGAGGGAAATGTGGAAACTTATATCACAAACTTTATGTTCTGAAGACTATAGATGGGAATAGAAGCAGCTGGCTGAAGTCCATTTTTGTCGATATTGCCAGTCATCTTTGTATACCTCCATATCAGCAGTCAAAGATCGTGACTAAGGAGCATATGTTGACAATAAAAAGGCTTCACAAGAATTACGAAGTCGTTATAATTAGAGCTGAGAAGAGGTCTGATGCCGTCACAACCAAAAAAATGTCTACTTACATAAATTGCTGATGATTTTGAGCGATTCGTCTAGATTTAAGGTTGATCAATCCCAAAGAGGTACGATAGTTTCAGTTGGGGACAAAATAAGCAAGCACCTCAGGAAACTCTTGAATTAGCATATGATTGATGGGGCAACCTATAATGAACCCAAACTAAGAAGTCCACGACTACCCTTCATGTATGGCTAGCAAGGAAATTGGAACCCATCAGTAAAAGGTTCTCAAATCATAACGTAAAGGACACATTTCAATTCTCTCGATAACTGGATAGACTACATTTCTCAGATAAACTCATGGTGTCATTTGATATTTCCTCATTATTTACATACATACCAGTGAACGAAACAATAGATTTAATCTGTCAAAATTCTGATTCACCTGCATTACCGAAAATTGAACTGAAACAATTACTGCTCCTCCGTACAACAGGCGCTCAGCTCGTGTTTAATAATATACTATACTGACAAACTGGTGGAATGGCTATGGGTTCACCACAGGTATATCGGTGATACTTTTACCATTTGTGATAATGTGAATCATGTGTCGTAGTTGTCCGATACCATCAACGAAGCTCATCCAAGGAAGAATTTTACAATGGAATAAGGAAATGAGGACAGATTCAGTTGTTAGGTCCAAGTGTAAGACAGATATGATAGTACAGTTGAGAAAGTTGTTCACAAGAAAGACAGTACCCTCACTATGATAGTTTCTGTCCTGTCAGTTATGAGAAAGGATTATCTAGGACGATTTTCACTACGATAAGAAAGCGATGCTCAAAAGACAAACAAGAAGGAGAATTTGGTATCGTTGAGAAGCTTCTTATAGAGAATGGATATCAGGAGAAGTTCATCATGAAGCATAGAAAAGAAGTTATTGAGAGACCAAAACATCAAACTACCGAGAAGAAGCCTGTTTTCCTTCGTCTATTATTCAAGAGTGATGCGACATCTGAAATAATAGATAGAATAATAAAAGCACCACTGAGAAGGAGCTTTCCTTCTGCCAGACTGATCTCAGTTTATAATACAGTTTGCTCAGTAACGCAGTCGAAAGCAGACAAATACCAACCTCAATTTACCTCCAACTGTTTATATCAATTTGCCTGTGCTTCCGGAATCAGGCACATAGGCAGAACAGAAAGAAGGGTGTCTACTCGATTTTATGAGCATATTTCGAGAGATAATCGACAAATAAAGAACACCATGTTTATTACGGTTTAGGGAAGCTCTCGTTGTCAAAAATTTTCAACCTGACCTATGTACTCAGAAGGTGACTGTAATTAAACTTTCCTTACCTTGGTAAATGTATTTAAATTTTTTGCATATGTGTATATATAGTCTTCCTTTTGTTGATTGCATCACCTCTTCACTAATTATTTAATGACTGTCAATCATCCAAACCAACATTTTTCCAGTGTAATTACGTAATCTGCTAACTCTTTAACAATCCTTTCTTTTACAACTCCTGTCTGTTTATTGCTTCCTCTTCCCATAGCTTCAAAATTTTCTATCTCATCAGATATAAATTGCCACTGATTTCCACTGAGGTTTTTGATTAATAATCTTGTGTTGCCTTGACTTACTACTTTATTGCTAATCATGGATTTCAAATCTACGTTTATTTCTACATGTTTAAAGTATGTTGTGTTTTTAATGATGGATAGTGGCTAACAGGGGAATCCAGGATGAGCATTTCGTCCTATTTAAGACTCGTCAGCTGGGTATACCTGCTTTCCGGTGAGTGATGTTGTTCCCACTATCCATCATTACTATCATAAGAGTACAGATAATATCGAGGCATCCTCACAGGAGCCCATATGCCAATAAAGACCGATCAATTCGGTTCAATCAACGACGGTATGGTATAGAAACAATTATACTATATTGTGTTTTTATTCCTAATAGTCCTTCTGTCGATTTTTAGGCTGATTTTGGCTGATGAAAGGCCATGGGATAAAATGACTTCGTTATAGTTTACATATGTCTTCTTTCTCGTATCGATTTCAACCCATGTTCCAGTTATTTCATGCATGTACAACTAAATACATTAGTATTCTGCATTTCGAAATCTCCAGTTACTAACTTCGTGGGCTATCTGAAATACATGGTTCCTGTTAATTTACCCAATGGCCATTGAATCAATCTTTTAATACTGACAGCAGAACCCAGAAAGTATGTATGAAGTCTTGGATATTCCTAAAAAAAAATTACATAGAAACTTTATGAACACCCTATATTAGTTTACAGAGATAAGAAACATTTCCTCGTTCACTTCGTGTTTTTTCCATATTTTCAGTGAAAAAATTTCAATTTGTGTAAAAAATTTTTCAGAGCTCCGATTCTGAGAAATATTATCAATGAAACGAATAATCCAATTTTTATATTATAACTATATTTTGCTTTAAAAATATATCCTACATTAAGATGTAATTGTTGCATACACAGAAATTCTATAGAATGAATGAAGAAGGGATAGCCTAGATCAACTGAATATCAACAATGATACTACTTGCTCAGTGAGGAAAAAAACTCTAAATAACCGGTACACAGTTAAGGTATCACTATTAATTGATTTAGGGAATTTTTATGAGTGAATTTATATTCAACTGTCACTCTAATCTGTATTTAAAAGTACTGCAACACCTTGTAAAATCCAAAATGATGAATGTTTTTTAATGGGTATATCTAATTCAAGAACAAATCCTTCACCCATAGGATTACATCTCTGACTTGTTACATAAACTGGTACTTTTACTGTATTAGTTAATTTTAATCGATGTTTTTCAATTGGTGTTAACTTTACAATTGGCATTTCTTGTAATAATTCACCTGATTTTTGTCTTGTTAGACACATTTCCTAATAAAAGTAAATTAAAAAACAATGAAAATGAGAAATTAAATAAAAGTTAACTGGTAAAATCTTGTAATCTTAGAATACGCTCAGTACCCCTACAATTTGGTGTATTTCTTACATGAAATAAAATGCAGACTGAAGTAGAATTATTATATCATAATTATTAGTCTGTTCAAAATATTCTACTCTACAAGCCCATGCGTTAAGAGATATAAACTAATGCTAACCGTTTGAGTGTGATAGGTGAGGCGATCAAAATGAATGTTTACGATCCATGTATGAAATGATATAGAAACTATAGTTATCTTGCAGGTTAACTTACTGATTATGTTTATTATTATTATTATTATTATTATTAGTCCCTTCGGTTCCTAATGGAACATACGGCTTCAGTAGCACGTCTCCAGTGACCTCTGTTCTCTGAAATCTTTTGAACCTGGTTCCACGACAGTCCAGAAGCTCTCATTTCCTCCTCGCACGATCTCTTCCTTGTCACCCTCACCTCGGACACCCAACTCGTCGCTTCCCATGGGGATTCCACTCCAGGGCCTGACGCGTGATGTCCCCAGTCGGCCTTCTCAGTGTATGCCCAATCCTATCCATCTCCACTTACTTACAGTGCATATTTGTTGCATGATAGGTTCTTGGTTGGTTCGTTCCCAGAGTTCCTTGTTGCTTATTCTTTCTGGCCATCTGATCTCCAGTAGCGAGCGTAAGCAGTTGTTGATGAATGTCTGTAGTTTATTGGAAATCCCTTTCGTAACGTGCCAAGTCTCTGGACCATACAGAAGCACTGACTTGACTGAATTGGTGTTGAAAATCTGGATCTTGTTAACTGTTTGTGGTGAGTGTAGAAGATCTCCACACTGGTTTCAGGTTAATGAACGCCTGTCTTGCTTCTCCGATTCTGACTTTGACATCCTCGTCTATGCCACCGCCTATAATTGAAACAGTGCTTCCTAGATAGGTGAAGGAGGTTACTTCCTATATGTTTCTCCTGTTGATGGTGACTGGAGTTTGTTGTTGTTGTTGGAGTTGTTGGTGCAGTAACTTCATCACTTCTGTCTTCTCTATATTCACTTGTAGTCCCGTTTTCGCTGCCTCTTCTGCCAACTTGTTATGTTTCACCTGTAGATCTTCAAGTTTGTGCGACATCAGACACAAGTCATCGGCAGCGAAATCCAGATCTTCTAGGTTCTTTTCCGCAGTCTGGTGAATCCCCCTCTTCTCACAGCTCCCCACTGTTGTCTGCTGCATGATCAGGTCCACCACAATCAGGAATATCATGGGGGATAGTAGGCAACCTTGTCTCACTCCTGTCTTCACTCCACTTCAAAAGCATGACTGAGCTTCTCATTGTGAATTACTTGGCTGGCATGTGGCGTCTTCATATAGTTGCTGAATGAGGCGGATAAAGGTTTGCGGTACTCCGTAGTGTTGAAGCAGTTTCCAAACTACTTGTCGGTGGACGCTGTCAAAGGCCTTCTCAAAGTCGATAAAGTTGAGGTAGAGAGTTGACTACCATTCTATATTCTGTTCTATGATGATGCGTAGAATGGCGTCGCAATTTGGTCGGCACATGATTTGTACTTCCTGAAGCCTGCCTGTTCCTGTGGTAGTTTTGAATCCAGTGCAACCTTTAGCCTCTCCAGGATGATGCGGCTTAATATTTTGCCTGCACTGGGTGAACAAGAGAGTGATTCCACTCCAGTTCTTGCAAACACTGACTGATTATGTTGCTTTGTATTTAATATTTTGCTGTGGTCTTCGAACTCCTTTTCGATTTCATTTATCGTCATGTTAACTATCTCCTTCTTCATTAGCCCATCTCTATTGTTTAAATTCCTATTTATTCCTCATAGTAGGATAAGAGTGACTGGAAGTTACTAGACTGAAACGTGATATGAGTCCTCGGAGTCTTTGACTCTTCGTCTGAGCAGTGTAAGAAAATGTAGTGTACTTGATCAGGGTCCTCATATCAGCTAAAACAGGTGTTTGGAGACTCAATAGGATGTGCTTAAAATCAATTTCAATGCTTCACATAATCTGTTTTAATCATCAGAGTGAATTTTGTTGTGGTTTCACAATGTATTCCCATTCTTCTCATGAAAATTTACAATATGTTATCCTGTGTTTATCCATTTTCCAATCTGTGGCTGCCCTAACCCTCACACAGTGTTGCCAAGTATCATATTTACAATGACTGATGCCTAGGTGGTTAGATGGAACTCTAGGCTGATAATCTATCCGGCGTGACAGAGAATTTCACCTGAAATTGAGTAATTTTTTGTTCACATGTAAATAATTTTGGTAGACAAACTAACAATGTCTCGGCTATTTTTATAAATGGTTCTTAAGGACGTGAAAATGACGAGGAAGCCACTTCAATCAATCGTTTTTCTTCTCAATATTCATTTGACAAAAATTCTGAATTTTTTCTAAATGAGAAAATAACAGTCTTAGGAAAGAAACTTTTCATTTCAAATAATTATAATTATCATCTTTCTCATCAATAAAAAGATGTTAGGTTGGTATTCCTCATGGAGTGACATTAGTTGGAGAAACAGTGGAAACCTGGGAGTACTGAATATCTGTTTCATCGTAGTATGGGACGCCTCAGCAGTGAACACTCATAACCCAATGACGAATACTAACCTGAAATCAATCAGTTAATCCCCACAGACCTTCAGAGTAGTAATTTATTATTTGCCCAGTGATACTACTCATTGCCTTTTCCTTCGAACAACATGTTATTTCTTTCGACTAATGTTTTTCTCCGTTGATATATTCGTGTCAAACAATTACAGCTTATACTTTTGTTCACTATTCTATTTACTTTCATTTTTAAGCAAAATTTTCATTGTTGTATTATCAATTACCTATTTGATTGATTTATTGATTGATGAGTGTTCATTTATTTTCCCTTTTTTAAAAATTCTTTAGCCACTTCCTTCTCCAAGTTGGGGTTACTGTGTGGAGTTTCTGTGGAACAGTGGCGGGATCAATTTAAATTATGGTCTACTATAGAAGATAGTCAACTGATTGCTCTATGGAGATCTTCAAAGTCATCATACTGTCATAAGTAATCAATGGACTATAAAAGATACATAGACAATAACTTTATGATTTGTAATGGCAATGTGAATACTGAAAACAGGCTTTATTTTTCAATACTAGTCACTACTGTAGCAGTTTTACTCTACTAGCTGATTTAAACCCCAAAGTTTACCTATTTTATTCTTAGCTGTAAAGAAAATATGTGAATGTAGTCTGGGTATCTATGTGAAGAAGTTTTACTAGAAATGAACAGTTTGTGGATTTGAAAAATCAGATTCTATAAATCAGGAAGAGAAATTATTGTTCATTAGCCTTTTTCAAGAATCAAGGAAATATATACAGAGAATGATATTCATGAAGAACTAAAAAACCTTCAGAGAATTCTAATGAAAACGGATTCCTATCCGAATTCATATATAAGAACTTAAAATGAAAAAAAAATATTACTAAAGACTCAAACCTTTGCTGCAAAATAATATTTTGCGTTGAAAATTAAATTTAGGATTAGAAATATCGGACATGTACTTCAAAGAAGGCTACTACAGACTATAAATGAAATTTTTATGCTATTCATCTTCGAATCATATTTCCTCACCCGAAACTTATTCGTTTTCATCGAAGATGATATACCTATCGTATAGCTACATTTCATTTTTTTAATAGTTCATGAATTTTCTTATTCGAAATCCCTATCAGTATCATGTAACTGGAGTATTTTAACTCCTCAGTGGATATTATTCTGGAATTTTTTTTTGACCATTTACACTACATTTTCACACTATTTTCATTAAAAACGGGAAATTTCTTCGTTGCAATCATCTTTTTCTTTTAATTCTGAAGACTTTACAAATTAATTTACTCATACTTTTTACTAGTACTCATTTACATCTTCTTTGTTATTACTGTCACCGTAAAAAAAATATGAATGATCGTAATTTACCTTTCTTGATCTCATTTTCACTGAATTAATTGTTTCAATTACAAGCATGCGCAAACAAATCAACTTGAACACTAATCATAACGTCAACAACCACAACAACAATACCACCGGGATGTGAAAACAAGAAGAGAAGACGGAGCGTTGACAGATAGGCTTAACTGTCTCAAAAACAGTCAAAGCATTTGACAGTGATGCTGAATATATGCATTTCTAAACGACCTTGACAACACTAGATTCACTGATAGGTTTAAAGAGTTAACAGCCAATGAGAACTCAGCTTTCAGAAGTAGTGGGAAAAAAGAAAGCTAACAACGGTGAGAAGAAAGCAATGATAAACTTATTTCAAGGTTATAGGCAAATATCAAGTAAATGTTGGTCAAAATTGGAGGTATATAAAAGAGACATCACATATGCTTTTTAATTCTTAGTGAGATACCCTGTTTCAAATTAAATCACTTTTTTCTTACCTTTACATCCCAAGCAGAACCTTCAATATAAAGACCACATACATAACATCCAATTTCAGGTGCCATGAGTATAGTATGAACTTCTTCTGGTACCACATCAGTGACTGTAGTTTGTATAGCACATTTGTCTATAGCCCAACCATATTTTCGACAAGCTTTTAGAATTAAAGCAGTTATATAAGACTGAGGTAAATGTAGACCAGATAACCAAATCACTGCTGGTTCACTTTTACCTGCATTCATCTGTCAGAACCAAAAAATAAATATAAATGGTTTGATGAATCAGTAGAATTGCAGCATGCTAACAGCTAACGGAGATAAATAGAAAAAAGAAAGACCATTTGCTGGTCAACTAGTAGTCATCACTCTGTGACAACATTCATATAAAGAGATTTAGCTTTATAATAACTAAGCACTTAATATAGGTTGAATCCTACAGGGACTGTAATCACAGAAAAATCCGAGTTCAAGATATGCCTTTCGCAAGTGAAATATTCTTGAATGTAAAGATCATAAGCAATTTTCCGTCGTGCTTTCAGTGTAAAGAGCCTGATTACGCCGGTACCTATAAACATTTCGTTATCCTGGTGACAAACATACTGAGTATTAGTGTGAAACTTGGCAACAGCATAAGTAATAGCCATAGCCCCATTACTGGTTCCCTTTTTAGTAGATAAATTTGTAAGGCTATATCACAATAGCAAAGCTACTTGTTAAGTGAGTAAGTGAACCAGTGCAGTTGAAGATATTTCCTAGCTATTACACTTACCAGTTTTAAACAGTCATTGTCCTTCTGAAAATAAAATAAACTGCATTTGCGCTACAGTCATCCTAGATGGTATTATTAAACAGTGATAATTACCTACTTTTTCATTTTGTCATCCCTGAGGAAAACGACATCCCATAGGTATCAGTATCCCATAAGGTTTTATTTTGCTTCTTTTACTTTCTGGCATATCATATTTATCACTAAATCATGAGTGATAGAAACAGTCCATAAAGTGTTTCTCTTACTAACTCTGGAGGCTTCCTGTGTTTGTGGTAAGTAGAAGCTACCACTCTGACAGGCTTATAGCAGTCTCGCTTGAAAGTATGTCGACCTTTGCCACTACTAGTCTCACATGTCTGAATTGAGTAATAAATTTCTTAATACAGACGAAGTAATCAGTGTGATCACATATGATCTTGTTAAATTACTTACTTCAAAATTTGCTTAACTTTGATCAAGTCAATAGAAAGTGCAAGAATAGGAAGGATAACATTACCTTATTGAGGACAAAAATCTGCAGCAAATCAAACTGTGTATGGGAAGTGAAATCAAAGTGAGTAAGAACTGTCTGTAAGTACAGGTTGTTTTTCGTCACAAACTGACATCCTTTAGAGAACCATGGAAAGTCTTGGGACACTGAATAGCTGTTCCATCCTAGTATGGGATTCCTCAGCAGCGCACACTCGTGATTCACCTCATAGATTGGACTTAAAGCCCTCAGATTCCACGGCCTACACAATACCACCGATCTAATGCGTTGGGATCCAACGGTCCACATTTTCTTACTTCTGACAGTTCACAGTATAATGGGACCTCCATCTAATGCTATCAGTGAATGTTTGTCCTCACATCCGATTTAGTTTTCCCCACTGGTTTCTGAATACCTGAAGGTTGATTCATAGGAAGCCGAAAAAGACATGTCACCATCTTTGTTGCTATAACTACTGTCCACTGAATTACAAATGCGACATAATTAAGCACTTATTTAATAGAATAGATCTCATCTGTGTCCGTAACACAAAGAAAGATGAAGTCAAGCTGTTAACTATAACACTGGTATAAAATGGATACAACCTATAACTTATCAACACTTGTAGGTTTTGTGGAATTAACGCTCATCGAATGTTCATTCTTCAAGAAAATCGCTTACATCTTGTGAAGTGGATCATTACCCATTAGACTGCTCAAAAAGCCCAAAATTCTCTGAAAGCTTTCATAACTAATCATGATCTGCCAGGCATGTAACCTGGTGGTCGCTGGTTCAAATCCGGCTGCGGTCCAAATTTTCATCTCACCTTCAATCATCACCTAGTATAACCACCTTTTATCGTTTTGCTGATACCCTTCGTGTTCGCAAGACTGAGCTGCTCCATAGAGTGAAGTCTAAAGTTTGTTGTTCAGTAGTTCAAATTTGTATCAAAGACTGACTTCATATCAGTTGGTGATACCTTGTAGTTTACAGGTGACTAAATAGATTTTCCAAGTTGGTATTCATCGAGTACTGACATCAGTTGGAGGAACATTGGAAACCTGGGAGCGCTGGACAGCTGTTTCGTCTTAGTATAGGACTTTTCAGCAGTAGGCACCCTGACCCCGCCCTCTCAGTGGTCGAACTCTGGACCCTCCGGTTCCACGGCCAGCATGTCACCACTTAACCACTGTCTGGACTCAGTGATCCATATAACTTGACCACCACCCAGTGTCATCGTTGAATACTTGTTCTCATATCCACTCAGTTTTTCCCTCCGGTCATGACTTCTCATCGGAACTTCCGGAATCACCTCTCGAAGCCAGTCACCAATGATTCCTGGTGAGTTCATGGACGTGCAGTGATGAAGACAAAACAGTTGTCCAGTGTTCATAAGTTTCCAATGGTATTAAAATTGATGTCAGTCCATGGTGAATAACAACTTGAAATCAATAAAACCCCATAGACCTCCAAATTGAACACCTCACTGTGTTTATCAATGTACATGTGCATATGTGAATATACTAGCAAAATGGTGAAAGAAATATGAAATGCAGTTCAATATGGCTGAGTATGTACCTAATTCACTATAATAGTAAATAACTTCGGATGACTCGATAAATGCTATAGAAAAACGTTCATTTTCATCTTCTACTAAACTTACTCTAGAAACTAATCATAGAGTTGGTTAGTTGTAAAATAGTCTTTAATAGATTACATAAAAGTTGTTTAGGTCAAGTATGCAGGTTGAATAAATCTCTAGCCATCCGTGATTTCAAATACTTTTTACATATTCAAGAATATTTTGAAACCAATTCGTTAGTAGTGATTTCAGTTTTTATACAAAAAGTGATTTGCTTTAAAGTTTTGCTTCCATTTTATTCTTTTCATATTTCCTATTTTTCTTTTTCTTATTGACTTTATCAAAATTTTTCAAATTTTGATTAAAATAATTTTACGAATACATATATGTTCAGATTATACATTAAAATCCCTTAGATAACGTTTATTTCTCTATTACACTGCTTAAACACTTATAAAACTCGAAATGTACATTGTCTAAATGGTTAGTATGCAGTCAAAAGTAAGACCATTTAAATGTTTACAAAAACAATTGATCAGTACTCTGTCATATCAAGTGGTAAACGATAATAAACTATTTTATATAGCACCTATGGACACAAGAGTCAGTTTATATGAAAAACTTCATGAAATTATTTTTCTAACATGTAAAATAAATGGAGAAGATGGCAACAGAGGTGAAGAAGAAGAAGAGGAGAAATCAATCAACTGGAATGTATACTTACTAGACATTACCTTATTTATAAAAAATGTACTGAGCAAACATAATGACAACAATGTGATTAATACTACTTAATAATGAAAAGTAGAATAAACCTTAAAGAATTAAAATGTGTCTGTGGATAAAAATATACCTGAAAAATGAAATTTCAATGAATTATAAAGTCTTTGTTATAATAATACTTGTAATTATCCGCTGCTATGCGGGGCCGAATTACTCGACGTCTGTTGGCCAGAAGGAATAATCAACAAAGAACTCTGGGAATGAACCAACCAAGAACCTATCACCCAACAAATATGTAGAAGAAAGTGGAGATGGATTGGGCATACAATCGGCCTTCTCAGGTCGATTGGGAATATCGTGCGCCAGGCCAGGTTGTCAAGTGAAACCCAAATGAGCAACGATGAGTTCGGCCTTCCAACTGAGGGTGACATGGAGGAGATGGTGTGAGGAAGAAATGAAAGTTTGTGGTCATCATCATCATCATTATCAACATAGGACCAGGCATTACTGCGTAACGGTCCGAGTTGCCACACCTCATATCAGCACATCAAGTAAAAAGGTAGTGAGGTGAAGGATGAAGATAAGTGAATGCAGTCAAAAGAAATATAAAGTATGAGAAGAAAGGAAAGAGGAGTGACAAAATAGTGAGATTCGGTATAGCGTTGTTAAGATGAGGATAATGTGTGTATACATCTGCGCCACTGACTTCGGTTCTGAGCCATATCACCTAGGGTCTCCAACCACTGGTTCCTCTTGTCCCGTGGACCCCAACCACCTAGTCTGCATCGTCCTACATGGCTTAAACCAACAGTCAGAGACTTCATACATTGGTGCCATGTTTTAGTCTGGCCACCTCGGGCCTTTTTCCAGCCTGAACCCACCTCAGCCAACATTGTGTGACGAGGCAATCGGTGACTAGGCATACGTAGTACGTGTCCCAACCATCTCAGTCGATGAAGGTTCACAACCTCGTCGACTGACTTACCTCTTCTCCCTAAAACTCTACACCTAACTTCTGCATTACTCACATGGTGACACCACGGAATACGTCCTATACTACGAAGGCAACGGTGGTCAAATACCTGTAACCTTCTCATGTCTTCCACTTTCAATGGCCATGTTTCACAGCCATACAGTAGAACAGAGCGGACTGCTGTGCAGTACACGCGACCCTTAATAGACAAACGAATATCACGGCGGCGCCATAGGTGGCGCAAATTGGCAAAAGCCAATCGAGCCTTTTGTATCCGTGCAGAAATCTCATCGGCAACTAACCCACCGGAGTTGATCCTACTTCCCAGGTAAGTGAAGTGGTCAACACACTCAACCACTTCACTCTCTATTGTTAACCGCGGTACCGCTGAAGACCAGTCCTGGAGCAAAAATTTGCATTTGGGTGGTGAAAATCGCATCCCAAACATTCTCAAATTCCCACTCAAAGTGTTCAGAAGACTCTGCATCTTGTCAGCGTCTTCACCTAACAGGACTATGTCATCTGCATATTCTAGATCTAAGGAAAATTCACCTGTGATCCGGTCAACGTCTTTGTAATTAGGTGACGAGAGGGAAACCTCCATAAGAATATCTATGATAAAATTAAATAAGAATGGGGATAGTGGGCATCCTTGACGGACACCACTTGATGAGTATAGCTCCCTGGACAACTCACCATAGGCTCTAACATGCCCACAAGTGTTCGAGTAGAGAGCTTTCAATAAGGTGATGTACTTACTAGGCACGCCTTTCAGTGACAGACACTGCCATAAGACTTCTCGATCAACGGAGTCAAATGCCGCCTTCAGGTCGAGAAATACAGCTATTGTCGGGCGTCTGTAAGCATGCCTATGTTCCAGGACCTGGCGCAGTGTGAATATTTGGTCGATACATCCACGGCCAGGTCTAAAGCCTGCCTGGTTTTCTCGGGCTTGCTGTTCCCGAGCTCCACTCAGGCGTCGGAGAATTATAGAACTTAGGATCTTAGACACTATGTTTGTCAGGCTGATTCCTCTGTGGTTATCACAAGAGGACTTCTCGCCTTTCTTGAAGACTGGGATGATCAGTGACTTAGACCAGTCGGAGGGGATCGTATTTGATTCCCATATACTGGCTAACACTTCCGTTAGCCTGACTAAGAGAACTCTACCACCATTCTTGTATACCTCAGCAGGTAGTCCGTCTGGTCCTGCTGCCCTTCCCCGTTTCAGGCTACCTACCGCTTTCTCAACTTCTTCTAGTGTTGGGGGACCTGTCTCTATGTCCCATTCAGGGTCCGACTGGATAGCGGGCAGCGCAATGGTGGCTGGAGGCCAGTTAAACTGTTCCTCAAAGTGTTCTGCCCATCGTCCCAGTCGCCTTCCCTGCGAGTGAATCGCCGATCCGTCCTTCTCCGCTATAACCTCACTAACTGTTGTTGACCATTTCCCCCCAGTCTCCTTAATAAGTCTAAATAACTGTCTACTGTTACCGATCGCCGCTGCCTTTTCCATCTCTTTAGCCTTTGCTGCCCACCACTGTTCACGATCGTTGCGCAGACTTTTCGTCAGTTTATTTTTAAGTTGCGCTCGCTCTTCATTGTACTCAGAGCCTGCAGGGATGCATTCACGTGCATCCATTAGTTTGGAAGAAGCTGCTGATATCCACTGGCTCTTTTTAGCCATTATCTTGGAGTCGGCTACAGTCTCCAGTGCTGCTTTTACAGTAGACTGAAGATGGCACCAAGCTTCTTCTGGATGAGTGACAGTCTTTTGTTCCGATAACTGCCTAGCCAACTTCTCACTGAACACGGCTTTGGTGTTTTCGTTGTCCAGCAGAACTCGTAGTGGTTTTGTTGCCAAATTTTTTCTACGTCCATTGAGACGCAGGCATATACGTGCTCGGACCAACGCATGATCGCTGTCCAAACACGTACTCCAGAAGGAGCGGCAGTCTTCCACCGATCCTCTCCAGCGATGACTAATAGCAATGTGGTCTATCTGTGTCCATCGCTGAGTCGAGCTCGGTGGACGCCAGGTCAGACAGTGCCTTTCTTTATGTCTGAAATTTGTGCTGGCTAAAAATAGGCGGTTATCTGAGCATAGTTGTAATAGGCGATCACCGTTATCTGTACGTTCAGCTGGGATTCCGAAAGTGCCACCTAAGTGCCTTTCTGCCTCACTCAGTCTACCCACCTGTGCGTTGAGGTCACCTGCAACAACCACTACGTCCGAACGTTTGGCTTTCGAGAGGAGGTTAGACAGTTTATGGTAGAACTCGTCCTTCACTTCATCCGAACTACAGTCAGTGGGTGCGTAAGCAGAGATTACAAAGAGACAACGGCGAGTCTCACTATTCCTTTTAGTTCTCACTGTGCCGTTCAGCCTCATAGCGCAGAGGCGACTATCAACTGGGATCCAGTCTAGTAGTGAGTTTTCTGCCCTGGTGCTTAATGCTATACCTACACCTGCAAGACCACGAGAGCTAGCTATCGAATCTCCAGAAACTCGAAGGGTGAATTTTGCAGATTCACCAGATTGGTCAGGAGAGGTCAGGTGAATAACCACACTTGGGTCCTGTATGCGTGTCTCACAAACACAGCACACATCCATGCCTCGAGTTGCTAGAGTCTTTGCCAACGAAGCCTGTTGGCCAATTTGACGGAGGGTGCGGACATTGAAGGCTCCAATATGTAATTTGGAGCGTGGTTTAAGGAGACCAGGGATGCTGTTCTGTGGACTCAGATCGTTGTCGAAGGCTGCAGAGGTAGGAGAAATTGAAGATGATGCAGCATCATTAATTAAGAGACGTGAAGGAAGATTAGAAGGTAATGATGGAGGAGGAGGATAGCAGTCAGAAGAAACTTGGGTGCTGACAGAGTTGTGAGGGCGGTTGACACTTCCCGGCTGCCCACACCGTGGAAGGCTATTTCTTCTTAAGGTACCTGAAAGAGATTTGTGTGACCGCAGAGCCCATCGGACATCTGCTTGAGGCCTGTCACACCCAGCCTTTTGAGTATGATTATTTTGAATTTTTGTATTTTTGGGGCCGGATGAGCGAAAGGAAACGACAAGTGAACCAACACCGCCGGCCCGGCAGACCGTGGGGCGTGGTGGAGTGTGTTATTTTTGGGGCCGACCTTTTCTAACCCCCCCTTCCACTGAGAAGGCAGCATCAGCTTGGCACTGCTGGTCATCCAAGGGAAACACCTTACTGCTGTCACACCCCATCCAGCTAGCAGCAGTACGACTTCGCCCTCAGACCCCCATCATAGTATAGCAATTTACACTATGACGGTAACTGCTTTTCGTCTAACCACTACCCAACAGACCTTTCTGGTATGGTAGGACCTCGAGGGAACAAGCGTTCCACCAGCATAGCTCGTTGGGTCATTGTGATATGCAAGCCCGACCACCACGTCAAGGTAGCAGCTATCGGTCGGGGAAAGTTTGTGGGCAGTTGTGGAGCGAGGTTCAAGAGACTCCAGAGAACAGAGTTAAATGGAGGCGTGCTACTGAAGCCGTATGTTCCACTGAGAACCCAAGGGAAAAATAATAATAACAATATCGGCAATTAGATTCCTTTATGGATACTTCGTTACTGTTGCTTATTCAAGATGTTAAATTGATCTCCGTGACTGCCAGAGGAATCCAGAGGGTGCGTCGCAGAAGAGGTGGCTGTCGTGACTCAGTAGCTTACTGGATAACTCTTTATCGTTCGTAGTGATGGGTGCAAGGACCTAGTTTCCGTGGGAACACCGTCATTCACTAAGATGCTGATACATCCAACTGACCAGTCTGAAAATGAACGAAATGTGCATCACTTCTAGCCAACACCAAGGAAGTGTTACATGTCAGTTTCTAGGGCTACAGAAACTGTGTCTTAGTCTGAGTTACGCATTAAAACTTGGACATGAACATCAAACTAGATGAAATTTGCACGTTGATTTCATCCTACTGAGTAAATGGATGAATGTTTTGACAGCACAGCCCTTGAATAAATTGCCACTTACAAGAAACATAACCCAAAAGATTTAAAAAAAATACATCACAACGACAATTTCAATGCAAAATTCTTCTCAAAAAAAGTCGTACCACTTAAAAAAGTTAGAAACAACAATAATCCCCTTCAAATGATATAGGCAATATGCTAGAGCTAAAGTCGTTTGAATTCTAACCAATTGTGATCAAGTTTACAAATTTCTGCATAATGGTACTCAACTCAAAAATCTACATTTTCATTAAAAAAAAATGACACATCACAGAACAAGTCAATATAAAATAAAATATGAATATCTTACCCATTTTTTATATTGATCTGCTCGTCTCATTAAATGCTGTAACCAATTTGGAAGAGATTTCTTGGTTTGTGGTACAAGACGTCGCCAACTATCTGGAAGAATTCCATTAATCAAACAATGAGTAATGTTATCCAACTCTGATGACATGCCAACTTTACCACTTAATGCATTTTTAATTCACTAAGAGATGTATTAATTTTTTCGAGGATTAGATTAAATCTAAATAAGAGGGTGAAAAGTTAGTGATTATGTTATTTCACATACCTGTTTAGTTCCTGGATGAGGACATTAATTGTCGGGGATATCTCAGTACCCATATACTTCCGTTTCAAAGTATCGACATCGAACAAGTGTGGTAAACGATTGAGTATGCCATCCACCATATGGCTTACCATTACGTCACCACTAGAAACAGTTGGAGTTGTAGGGATTGAAGCATCTGTAACTGAGGTCATTGAGGAATGTCCAGTTGAAACACTTATCGAAGTATTGCGTCGTCGGTTTGACTGATGAAATTCCTCGATGTCATCTTCCTCCTCACTACTGTTACCACTTGAACTGGCTGTATCAACTTCTCGGTTTACTTCACTCACTGGATCTAACGCAGTAGCATTTTCATCCGAAGCTGACTGTATATCAGCGTGCTCACTGTCATCAACATTTACGTTAGTGACTACTTGTATTAAGTTTCCAGCAGATGTTGCAGACCCTCGAATCTCAGAATGACTTTCTGAACCTGATAGGGAGGCCACTATACTGAGGTGTTTGGCAGAAGGTACTCCTCCAACTGATTCAGTCTCAGGCATCAACAATAGTAAATTCGACCATAAATCATGTGTGTACTGAGCTGTATAACCGATAGATGCATTTGAATGAAAACCTAATACTTCAGGCTTTTGACTTCCAGGCAGGTGCGAAACATATTCTGAGGTAGACACAAAAATATGAATTCATATAGTATTCGATATACTCTGAATAATAACCTAAGTTATAAATACCCAGTTTGGTACAGTCATCTAACGTCTGTAATTTATTCCAAATCAACATTTAGACCTAATCAAAGTAAGGAATCAATACTCTTTTGGTAGAACAGTCAGTTGACAAACGTTTTTGTAGGTCTTGCAGTAACTATGGTCATGTTTTTAGTTGCACTTTCATCCCCTCACATCAAAACTAGTTTCTTAAACCAAGGCCCCCTCAGATGTCCCCAATAATAATAGTTTTAATCAGTTTAGCTACACAGAATCAGCATAAAATTCATAACTTCAGACAGTTGATTGAAGATAACTATTATTCTACACTGTGCTTATCTTCCCTCTATGCATCCGTAATGTACGCATGGTTATTTAGACGTAACTGATAGACAATACAAATCAATACGACACCTATATATCACAATGTATATCAATACGTACCCATAAAGACAATGTATTTAAAATAGCACAGTGAAGTCACGAAACTCAATGAAGCATCATATATAAATCAGTAAATTAGCGTTATTTATCATTCAGACGATATTGAGATAGCATTTCTTAAGGATATCATATGAAGTCTCCTAATGAGTAAAAATACTGATGATTAAATCCAGCTGATATCCGAAAGATTAACTGCCAGAACTACATATTGTTTCGAAAATTTATCGTATACTAGTGCTCATTCAGACAATTGCAATTGGCATCACCACCCCTATTATGAAACGATCTAAATTTTATTCAGTTTGACAAAAACTACTCGCATCGTCCAATGAAAACATAGTATTGCTGAATACCTGCATTCCAGACCTTATTGAAACCTTTTGATCGTGAAAGTTAAATAACTAGTCTTTCGTTAATCTAAATAAGACACAGAACAGAAAATGAGTACAGTTGTATCCAAGTTACCACCTATCTCTGTGGTAATTGGCAAAAATGAGGAAAAAGGATGAGTTGAAAGAAAGAAAATATAATCCATTTTTATGAATATAACAGGCTGCTGGAAGCTAAAAGCAAAGAGAAAGAAATATGGTAAAAAAAATAACTGTACATGCTTTAAAGGAAAGTTATACGTTAAATTGCAGTTTCTTTCTATCCTTCATCTTCATAGTCACTAAGCCATCACACAGTAGATAAATTTATATGTTTGGCAAAAGATCAAGTGATGAACCATGAAATATCAGTGATTTCATGGTTAAAAGGTTCAACCAAACCTCTCATATTTAAGCCATTGAGTAGATGACAGTGTTAATATGAAATATTGACTATATATATATATATATATATATATATATATATATATATATATATATATATATATATATATATATATATTGCAATTTCAAAACAACCCACTGCGCACAGTCAACACTCTACCTCTAGGTTATTGTATGTATTTAATTATTAAGTTACTGGGACTGTGTACGTATGCCATAGTATAACCTTTAGTACAGTGGATGAATCAAAAAATTGTGCATACGTATTGGGATCATCAATCAACTTGTATAACAGAACTCATGTCAATCCAAGATGATTTCCAGGTTGACTAATTACCTAAAAGTATGCCTTAATCGTTAGATTTAACACAGATTTTCCAAAGTTTAACTGAAAGATCCCGAAGTGTAGCATCAAGTTATTGAAAGGTATGGATAGATGTCCATCACCGATGTTGATTACCTAACAATAAGTTTAATAAATATAATTTTCAAAACAATAACTGGATATTGCCACAGTCGGCAGATGACTATGAGACCATGAACCCAATCTATTATGCATTTAATTGTGTATATCGATAAACCATACAAAATTATGGAGAAACAGTTATTTAGTGCTCCTAGTAAATGTCATTCCATGGTGGCTTTCTTGATGTCTTCAAACTGATTAATACTGAGTAGATCATGACATTAAGAATGTATTCTTACTGTTGATCTCATTCAAGATTTCAATGATCTCTAAACTTTGTTGTGACTAGTGAAAAGTTTCCCAACCTGAGATAGCTACAATTCTGTCCTATCATATATCAAAATGAAATGGATTGATATATTCATATTTAAGTCAATAAAACTACCTAAATATAATTCTTTGTAGTTTGTTGAATCTGCTGGTTCTTCAGGGATGAAGTATTTCAATTTACTTCTTTCATAGAATGTAAATGGTTGAATATCATCGAATAGAAAATCACTAAAGTATTCATCCATATATGTCGTTAATACACGTCGATCAAAATTATCAATTATTCTACCACCGTATATTACCTGTACCATAAAATGAAGGGAAATAAAGCATTTCAAATAAAGGCATCGAACCATCTCATAAAATTACTTCACTAAAGTACATAACATATCCAAGGTTAAATTATACTCCTTATATCTCTCATCTTTTGAGTAATCATTGCTAAGGAAATACTTGCCATAGAATCCTATAAAAAACTTATTGTTCCCCCAATCCGGTATAATGTAGTACTCCTAATTAAAACTTGATAAAAACTCTTACTATATGCATTTATGAAATGTCTAATATGACCAAACGGAAGAAGGTTTATTAACTTAGTAATAATAATAATAATAATTCTCAACCATATGTTTGATGCAGTATGTAATTCTCAGTACATAAAATTTAAGTAAATTTACATTCTATACAAAATTTTTTTATTGAAATAGTTATCCAGCCTTTCCACTGCTAATGAAAATAGGAACTCTGTGGCCATACAAGCCAATTTCTCTCTCAGATACCTTTAAAAAAAGTAGTCTTCTACAGTATGGGCAGCCAGGAAGTGTCAACCGCTCTCATGCTTCCATTTGTACACAAGACCCAACCAAACACACTCCATCCTCCTCAACTCTGTCTTCTCATTTCTCTTCACATCCTCATACTAATTGTAAGCCTCTCACACAATCCTCAACTTCTCATCCTCTGACTATCGCCAACCATCAAAACCACCGACACCTCATTCCTACTCTTCTAAAACCACCACATCGGTTTTATGTAGGAGATTTCAACGTCCAAACTCTATGTCAGACAGGACAACAAGCATCGCTCATCGAAACACTGGAATTTTACCAACGAATACATCCTGTCTTTGAGACACGTATACAGAACTCGAATATGGTCACTAAATTGACCTTACACAGTCACTGTAATGAATATTCAAAATTCAACCTACGAGTATCCGGAGACTCATTGGTGTGAACTGTCGTGGACTTGGTAGTGTAGGCATGGCATTGATCTGTAGACCAGAAAGTGTACTATCTACTGGATACCAGTCAACAGTCATCTATCTGCTGTTCGATTGAACGCATAGTAAGGACAAGGAAGGGTTGTGAAACCAACTGATGCCTTTTGGTAGTCTCCTCCCACGCACCCACCGACAGTGGTTTGGATGATGCGAAGGACGAATTCTGGGAAGCTGTCGTCACTTTTGATACAGAAAGTAAAACATTCAGATATGTATGTGTGTGGCTGTGTGATGGGACACTGTTTATGTACGGAAGGTGAGCTGAGGCAATCGGAAAGGTTTCTCGGTGTGTGTGTGGGGGGGGGCGGTGTTTACAGAATCTCATGCCAACGGACCGACAGGTAAGTCTCTCACAATTTTGTTGCCACAATCTCTTGTTTCTGACTAGCACTAATTATAAGCATAAGGGGAAACAGTGTCTCAGGTGGTGGGTTCCGATATCAAACTAATGGTGGACATAGGTAGATCATATTGCTTTGAGCCATCGTTGGATGATTGCAACTGTTTTTGGAGAAAGCATTATTACAGGCATATGTTTGTCTGGATCTAGCTGGTGTCATGAAACGGGGATAGTACAGCCCGTTTATTCTCAAATGAAAGATGAGAGCGTAAGTATTATATGAAAACACAAAATAATTTTGACATCAATCATAAACTACTAAAGGTTAAAGTTACATATTTACGAAAATTATATTGAAAAAGTTAGTACATAATTCAAGTTGACAGTTTATATTTCACCTATGTAGGACCCATTGTAACAGTAGGCTGTGGAAGAATAGGAGAATTTGCAAGTTTCTCTTAATAGCATTTGCCTCAGTTGTTTATAGAAGATGAATTCTTACCATCTGTGATAGATTGCTAAATATCTTTTGAATCCCTGATAAGGTGAATTTAATGTCCGCAGCATGAGTGGTATAGATCATCTGTGACTGGATGCAGCTAGTAACCTTCTCAGTTTCGCTTTTTATCAACCATTTTGATAGATTTTTTTTTTAACAGCTTCCAACAAACTCCTCATTATATTTATAAGCAGAAAAAGAGCCCTTTTTCTTCATCATAGACATCAATGCTGAAAGTGGGATTTCATATTTATAACTTAGTCTACTTTAATATTATGATTCTTTTTGTCTGAGTATCCTTCCAAGAGAACTTTTGTTTGATTTAAAATATAAATCTCTGATTGGAAAACTGTTTCAAAATACATTTATCGCATTTAGAACATTAGAATGTTTCAGGTACACTACACTAACAAACTTCAAAATGATGCTATAAGATGAACTATCTTAACGCGTTAATCACATTTGTGCAGTCATCGATTTATGCTTCAGAGTCATCTGATCGCTTCCCTGAACACTATCTGGGATTTTTCTGCTGCTTAGATACCCTGAATAGAATGTCGCATTTCTCTGAATTTTAATTGTACTAGAATACACTTCAGAATCAATCAGTTTCGCTTTCTTAATGGTGGTTATTTAATACAGTCGTTGGTACTAATTAGGATCCTGTTCACATTATATATGAATGTACCTAATCAAGTCAGTCTACCAGATATCCTGTGCATTAAGCCAATTTTTTCCAATCAACAATCTACGCCAGAAACGTTCACTTCCAGAATAAAATATATAACTATTTGGCTATTTTAAGTCAGTAATCTGAAGACTGCTGATTCAAATCCTGCAGTGGCCCAGGTTTTCGCTCCACTTTTAGCCAATAACTCGCATAAATAATACCAATCTGCTCAGCAATGACAACCTCATATAGTCTGATCAATATTCTGTATTTGTTTATTATCTTATAGTAAACATTTCATTCTTTTTTGTCTTGTTGTTGATTAGTTATTTCAGGATTTTTATACAAGCGCAACAAATAATTCCATGTAGCCTGTTTAACCCTGATTACCGGGAACAAGGTTAAATAGCTTCATCACAGATATGTGAGCTTATTTAATTGTTTGTACTCCATTATGCCTAGGAGTATAAATCAAACAGCAAACACATCGAATTTTTAACGACTACAGATTTTGATTCCCTTACTATTATCAAGCTTAGCATACCACCAAATTACTATTTATTGACATACTTGTTATTCTCCGTTGTTTTGTTGGGTCGAATTGTTCGACCTCTATTGGTATATGGGCTCCTATACGGATGCCTGAATGTTAATCATGATAAATTGGTTGGTTGGCTAGCAGAAGAATCCGGGACGCGCGTCCCTCCGTGGCATAGTGGATAACGCCTTGGCGTTTGAAGCGACAGGTACGAGGTCCGAGTCCCACTGGGAACAATATTACTGGGGTGCAAGTACAACCAGTTGACGAGTCCCAAATAGAACGACATGCAGGTCCTGGATTCTTCTGCTAGCCACAACCAATCAATACTACCAAATTGTTGAATCAGTGGGAAATAGACAGTCATGCTGCTTGGTCCAAAGCTTGGACTAAGTCCTATTGAACCAGTTTGCAGAATGACTAACAAGCCAGGCTACTAGCTACCATAAAACACTTTGATAAATGTCAGACTGTTAAAGGCAATAGGCAGGAATCTTTACACCCAGGTTTCTTGCGTGTTGGCTTTCATAAGCAAGGAGTATATTAAAACTCAATGAACTACAATTCATAAAAGAAATCAATTGGCAAGACAGGTTACTTGCCTAATAAATATTATGCTGACCATTAGGTGATTATATTGGATGGTGATTGAAGGTAAGCTGAAAATTTGGACTGAGGCCGGATTCGAACCAGAGAACACCGCGATACCGACCAGGTGCACTACCAACTGACCGGTCGCGGTCCAGATCTTCATCTCATCTTCAATCACAACCCAGTATAAATACCAGCCTGCCAAACTATGGCTATCTCAGATCGTCAAATGATAATTAAGTGGTTATAATTTGAATAATACAACTAACCTCTCCAATCAAATATTTGATTGTATCCCATGAAATATTTGTTTTCTCTTCCAAAGATTTTGTCAACGAAAGTTGTAAAATTCTCAATGAAACAAAAAAATCAGTATCAGAAAAATCATAACTGACATTCCAACCTAATTTTCCATATCGACGTCTTTCTTGTAAAACAGAATGTAAAAATACTAGTGTATACAAGCATGCACGATAATTGGGATGTTCACAACTGACGAATTCTTTATGTGATAATTTGCCTAAACCAGAAGCTAAATTCTGTTTCAATCCAATCGGTGGTTCCATAACCACCTAGAATGAAATCAACAAAAGAGAAGAGGAAGATAGAATTATTATTAAGGTATAGCCTTACTGTAAAATGATCAATGAAATTAAGTCAATACTTTGAGATAGATAACGTGAAACTAAATGCTCTTCCCTGAGTAGTTAATGTATATTTATCATGGTCTTCATAGTCATTATCTGGTAGCCTGAGCCTTTTGTATAAACAAGTTAGGAAGGGAAGCATATAAAAATGAAAGTGGCTGGAGTTGAAGAGGACCTGAAATCATACCAGGATATGAGTAATCAACTGGAATACGTTTAGCTTATAAATAGTCTCACACGATAAACGTACTACGAATGACAATATCCATTATATCTTGATATTGAAGCAGTTTACTTGGTTGTGGCTAGCACAGAAGACCCGGATGTGCGTCTCATCCTGGAACCTACATCCCAGCGAGTGATGTTTCTCTCACTGAGACTTGAACCTCATACCTATCCCTTCTAACGCCACAGCACCACCCACTAAGCCACTGGAACACGACGGCCACCTCTTGTACAACGGGTATTAGTTATTACTATTTGTTGATACGGTCCAACAAACTACAGACATACATCATCAACAGCTGCCACCTAGGCTCACTCGATACTGAAGATCAGACGGTCAGAAAGAATAAGCAACAAGGAATTCACTCTGGCGGGCTGACAACGAACCAACCAAGAACCTATCACCCAAACAAATATGCAGAAGAAAGTGGAGACGGATTGGACATACACTGAGAAGACCGATTGGGGACATCATGCGTCAGGCCATCAAGTGGAACCTAAAGGAAAAACGACGAGTTGGGCGTGTAAGGCTAGAGTGACTTGGAGGAGATTATGTGAGGAAGAGATAAAAGTTTATGGGAAGTCGCGGAGGCAGGTTCAAAAGACTGCAGAGAAGAGAGTGAAATGAAGACATATAACTGAAGCCCCGTGTTCCACTAGGAACCCAAGGAAAAAATAATAATAATTTGTTGATACGCTTGTAGTTCTCCGTTGTTTACTGGGTCGAAATGTTCGACCTCTTTTGGTATTTATGGGCTCCTATTATATTATATATGTTATTATCACAATAAATATCCAGGCAATATAGAGGCATCCGTATAAGACCCCATATGCTGACAGAGATCGAACGATTCCATCCAGTAAAACAATGGAGAACTAAAATCATATCAACCAACTGAAGTAGTTTTTCAAAGATTTTGTCTATGCGTTTTTGGCAGTGGATATTTTGTGCCTAAATTAAAACAAATGGCTACACAGGTTACTGACTCTATAGAAATACCATGTTATAGTCGCGGAATTCTCTGTACATTTTTGTGTTATTATAAGTTTCCGTTTCCGATGATATTTCTAGAGAAAGGAAGTGTTTCTGAAAGAAATCAAATTATCCTTCCGATAAATCCTATTCACAATTTTCAGAATAAATATAAAATGCAACCAATTACATAGGTCCTCAGTCGGAAGTTAGTTATGAACTTTTAACAACTGATCTATGCATAATGAAATGTGAAATAACACATGGCACCAAGTGGTTTGATATTCTCTGAACTCTGATATTTTATGCGTAGATGTTTCATCACCACACTTGTCGACATCGTCAGTATAAACTTCATCAAGAAGTGAAGTATATTCTTATGTTAAACACATTTTTAGATCGTTTTTTTATTGACTATGGGTGTTGTTAAACTGTAAACTGGAGATGAGGCTTTTCTCACATCTCTAACTGTTTAACCTTAAATTTTCTTAGGTTACGCTAGAACAAAATATTTATTAGAGTGAAATTGTGCTACTTGTTACTGTTACACTCTGTATCATTACTGATTTATTTGCTCAAATTATCCTTGGTTGATGAATGGGTCTATATCTGAATATCTGTTGATTGACTTTTTATTGGGATCCTATATTTCTAGAAACTGTCTTTTAGCTTTTGAACTTGCTTTCTGGAGGATTTCCACATTCTTTCAGTCAAATTTGTGATCCTGATTTTCTGAGTGCACTGCAACCACTCAGTCTGCTGGTTGGTGTTCATGAATTCCTTGAACAATCTTTGCGACTGATTTTGTGGTTAATAACTGTCCTTTCTTCTTTTGACAATGGATCGTTTCGCTTCCATTATATGACATCTAGTGATTTTGTTGGTTTGTATTCTACTCTAGTTATGAACGAACGAAGCAACCGGTTGACAGTTTTTGAGACATTTTTGATGTAGAAAAACGTAACAAGCTTATTGAATTGGGATAATCGCTGTATCTTCTGTCATGCTGCTGAACATTTTGATAAAGTTGAGTGGATAATCGTTATCATTGAACACACTGTACAGCAAGTTTAAGGTCAAAGAGATCATGGCATAATAAAAATCTCTTCCCTAACTTACAACTGGACAAAACCTACAGTCAATAAAACACCATCTAAACATTTGCACAACATTCGAATATGTTTCACGTCTTCATGAAGTTAGTGCTGAGGATGCCGTCAAGCTTAGTAATGAAAAGTCCATGACAAAATATCAAAGTTCAGAGAGTAACATACCACCATCACCCTCATCCTAAAATGAAAAACGTTTCCAATATTTCATAAAACTAATAATGATGGATAGTGGCTAGCAGTGGAATCCAGGAGGCGCTCGTCAGACGAATGTACCTGCTTCCCAGTGAGGGATGTTGTGGCTACATGGGATCAAAACCTGGACCGATCACTTTAAACGCCAGAGAGTTATCCACTAGGCCACTGAGTTACGATGGTCGCTTCTTGTGCGACGAGTATAATTTATGTGATGTCACTGTCCATCATTAATATCAAAAGTGAGGACAGGAGCAATATCGAGGGATCCTCGTAGGAGCCCATATGCCAATGGAGACCGATCATCGACGCGATAATGCAAGCATTATTATATTCCATATACGTAGATTACAAAAACTTCAATATTCCAAATATCTCTTTAGACCCTATCAGATTGAAACATTTTCCGGCTTTTGTCTTTAATCACTGACATCACTCAAAGACTGAGAAAAAATAGAAATTGTATAAGAAGACTGATGAATGACTCATTGTGAAAAGTTCAAAGAGTCATGACTTATTGGAAATACTGATGGTTACTGAGGATGCCCAGAGTGCCTCACACAAATGATTCTTGAGTTTCCCTACCGTTGCACCTGTTTTAAACTTAATACCCATGAATAACGTCTTCTCTGAATCAGTAGGGGTTCGTTTCTGCTAATATATGGGTAAAGAAGAAGACCTTTTCGGCCTAACTCTGAATTGTTTTCTCTGGTCAACAATTGATTTGAGGGTGTGTAAATGACAAACTAACACTTTGTGCCGCCTCTTTGAGTGTCTACCAATTCATCTGCTATTGTGAAGCTAGATACATAGGCCGCTAAAGTATGTTCTATCCAAGCGCATCTCCAAACACTATACTGCACGACCGTCTAAAGGAGAGTACAAAGTCGCTGACAGCTTGATTCTCGAGCATCTGGTTAACTCTGGTCACTATATTCCACAAGAATCTTTCTCGAAAGTTATTTATGAAGTCAAATCAAAGATTTTGAAGACAGTGGACATTCTCTACTTGAGAAGCTTTTTTGTAATTCATCAGTTCAAGCCTGATCTCTGCGTTCAAAAGAAGTACGTCCAATCTCTAAGTTTAACTTCGTCATAATCTCCATAACATGTTTTATTCATCTTATTTTATCTGTCAACATTATTATTTTCATCTTTAATTCTTACTCTGTAGTTGTTGGTTTCAAAATGATAGTTCCATTTTTATTACCTGTTCAACCACTCCGTAGATCTATACACAATCACCTTGTAATTACCTTGCATTGACCTTCACCCATTGCCCTGTAGTCATATTAACAAATTTTGATAACTTCATGTTGACTCATTAGCCATTTGTTGTAACTGTAAGTGTGAACAAGAGTGACTCATTGAAAAGAAAATTTTCTTCTCTGAATTATCTTTCGTGAATTTTTCATTGTTGGATTATAAAATGGGAAGGGTCGACATTAGGTTTTCAAAAGTCCTTGATACCATGAAATTGAGCATTCTGGATAGTAAATACAATGATAAGACTTATATTCTTTCATCAGTTAGATTATCTGAGATAGATAGGGTTTGTTAAGCAACATAAACATACATTAGAAGAATAAAACAAGAGTTTAAGTAAGTTCCCGATGCATTGTTTGAACTTACCTTATACGATCTCCGTAATATTCCTATCGGGAAATCAGAAACCATTTCAGTAGTAAGGCATATACGAAAATCTGGATGTGGTTTATTCAAATCGTCTATCATCTTCTCTAAAGTTGGAATAAATCCCACCAGTAAATGACAGTTTTGCAATAATAACCAATTACCACGGGCTGCACATTGTACAAAAAGACTTTGAGCATGCTGTCAAAATAATTTAATGATCAGCAACAGTTAATTGTTCACACTGACTTAATTCTTGAAATGAAACATAGTACTTTCATTAGTACTCCAGGGGTCTATGAAAGTTGGTGATCAGAGTACTAGATACTTTTCAAACCATCCTACTTTTTGCTGCTGGTGGCTTTGATGAAATGCAGCAGCTTTCGACTGTTTCATGGTGCAGCTGCTACTTTCATCTCACTTGCGCATTCTGACCACCTTGTCCGTTGGTGATTACGGAAATTTTGTGTGATCTTTCGCGTCAAGATTTGCACATACGCATGCACTCGCACATATCAATATGCGTTCTGAATACCGGAATAGACCAAATAGAGTCAAAAGGTTGCAAGGAGCTGGCATAAACCCCGTGTTGAGTGGTGAGAATTTCTACAATGCTACAAGCAGCTTTACTCACCAGTCAAATTGCGTCTTGAAAGTGGGGTTAATCATCACCCATACTTCATGGAGGTTCGATAGCTAATCGTGAATCTAGCTGTATGTAAGATGAACCTAGTACCCACCGAAACGTGATCACAGTCAAGACAGAAGAACGTAATCACAATCTCTATTTTAGTTTGAGCTTGAGTGGTAGAGGGAAGACATCATAAAACACAACAGGGATATTTGAGCCAGAAACCAGTGCTGAATAGAAACAAGTTGTGATCTTCGCTAAGCTTAAGAAGACTTTCCCCATTATCTGACATACGACCGAATAACCCTATTGGTCACATCAAAGATGTTCCTCTGGACCCAGACGTTCGACCAATGTATTTAATTCCTCAATGAAAATACGTTATCTGTCAAATGCACTTTGTAGAGATCAGTCAATTGATAGAACTCATCCTAAACTGCATCATGGCTGCAGTCAGTTGGAATACAGACAGACATGACCAAGGAATACAGTTTCCCTTGCCGGTTACTTCTGACTGTAGTAAAACCTATCACTCTAACAGAACACAGACGACTGTTGCTGGGAGTTCAGTCAACCAGTTTAGCTCAGGCTCTGGCACTTAATGCAGCACCACCACCACTAAGACCGGCTGTTTATGCCATAGTACTCTAAGACAAACTCACTATAAATACGCTTTTCGAGCTGACAGATAAGAAAGTTATTCAAAGCACTTAACTGGGAAATTGTATGTGGGTTTCGAAGATTCAGCACACATTAGTGGCAAGGAATTCCAGACTCTTAACCAAACCTATCAGCTATCTGATCTCCATCAAAATTCGAACACTGAAGGTGGTCAGCCCTAACCGTGTGCATGGTTTCAGAACAGTTGTATAAATAAATCTGTTAACATATCTTCGGTTCTCCACTTCCCATTCAATGTAACCCCTCAGTGTTTTATTAGAGTACGTATGAGTAATTTTTGTTTACGAAGAATGTACTTTCATACAAATTAACTTACTGGTTCCTGACCTTGACCCATTGAAAGATATTTAATACGAGATGAACTGAATTCCAATGAATGTGAGAGTTGAGTGAGTTGACTTTGTGGATCTGAGCCAGGCTGAACAATTAAAACAACTGGTATTGTCGGTGAAGTTGAGGTTAATATATCAGCTAAGTTTGTTATTGGTGGGGTGACGAACTCTTTGCCAATCACTTGTATTACATAATTCGTTATAGCTGATGGTATACGGTCCATACGCCAACAACGGATAAGACATAGTTTTAGGAACGGGTGTAGATTAGCATAACGACCAGGAAATGTTATTGATTCTGGGTTATTTGATTCATACCACTTAAGTGACGAGAACATAAGAGGGAAATGGATAATAAACAAATTGTTTTTGAATAATATCTCTTCAGAGTAAACTATAGTATGTCTATTCAAGTGTAGTAATTTCACACAGTTAGTCAGATCAAATAATAAGTTAATGAATGTGGTTTAAGGTTCACAGGGGTTTTATTTTTAATTTCAAGTTAGTCTTCATCATGAAATGACGGCAAGAAGAAGAACCATTGGAAACGTAGGATCACTAGACAGCTGTTTCATCTTCGTATGGGACTTCTCAGCAGTACGCATCCAAGTTTTCAATGATTCTCTAACTGATATCATTCTGTGGTAGATAATAACTTAAGAAAGTGAAATATTAAGAAATGAAGATGATGATGTGGTGACAAAACTGTTTGAAAAGTAATAGGGAAAGACGCTATATGGGTATTTATATGAATAATTGCCTCCTACAAAATATTGATTACATTCAAAAACATTGAAACTTTAAAGCATCAAATGGTATCCAGACCTCGCTGTATACCATACATGGTATATAAAACATCAGGTAGAAAGGAAATGTTCAATCAAAACATTCAATGACCAATACCGTTTTACACTAATTCATTTATTTTATCGGAACCTAGAATCAGTAACTGACCTTCAACCTACTTAGTCATTATACCAACGATCTTTTCACTTTTTTCAAGAAAGACTTTAAAAGTTACCCTAGCAACTGCTAAAGTAAGCGGTCTCTTCATTCTACGAAAGAATTACATTTCCAACCATATAAAGAAACCCAATTAGTGGTTTTAATATTTGCTAAGATTTTCTTTCGAATCATTTCCTCTCAAGTGACTTCAACTTTTATCGGAATATTTTGGATAATTTAAAGACTGACCAACAAGCTGACACATTTACATTGAAAAATGATGATATCAAAAGATTCAAAGCCAGTTTAACGACGTAAGACTAGTTCAATTACCTAATATTTACTATAGGTTTCAAGACATTAGATTATTCACCGTTTCCTGCTGTTCACTTCGATTTCAAAGTGGTAATGTGAAATGCAGTAACTGAGACAAATATGTAACTGTACTACGTACTATGTTGCATATCTTTGTGAGGGAGCTTCGAGATTAACACTTATGCATCCATGGTAGAAAGGATTGTTTAACTAGAACGCCTTACGTGTAGTGGGAGGCGACTGCTGGTTACAACATGATACAACCTTCTCAGGCCAGAAAGACAGACAAAATCAACGTAGAACCTAGCACATGAGTGCATCAGTTCAAGTTGCCACACTTCACAGTAGTACACAAAGAAAAGGTCGATGGAAAAACAGTGATACTTAAAAAACTGTGTGAGAAAATAAATAGTTTGAAGATAAAAGTTAGCTCAAATATTTAAGCTTTGAAAGACGTTAAAGAGTGAATACATCTGTGCCACTGCTACCTATTTCCAGCCATATCCTCAACCACTGATTCCTTTCATCTCAGTGACCCCAACCAGGCAGTATACAACCGAAAGAGACTTCATCGATTGATGCCACCTCTTGATCTGGTCACGCCGAATCGAATTCCAACCTGATCAGACTTCTCCCAGCATGGTACGTCGACGTAGGTGGTGACTCAGCATGCACAACACATGTCCAAGCCATCTCAGCCAATGAACGTGCACAACTTCACCAATCGAATCTCTTGTCTGGCATAGTACTCTTAGCCAGACCTTAACATTGCTCACACGGTGATTCCACCAAACATGAGCAATTCTAAGAAGGCATCCGTGATCAAAACACTGTAGTCGCTTGAAGTCTTCTACTTTCAGCGGTCATGTTTCATATTCGTATGACGGGACAGAGAAAACTGCAGTGCAGTATACTCGTCCCCTAACAGGTAGGTGAGTATCTCGCCAAACGGTGCCACAGATGACGCAAGTTCGCAATTGCCTGTCTGGCCTTCCGTATCCGGGCTGAGATTTCGTCTACAACTGGCTCTTTCGGGCTGATGCAACTCCCCAAGCAAATGAAGTGGTCGACACATTCTGCCACTTAACTTCCTGCCATCTAGCTGGAAGTACTTGCAGCAGACAAATCCTGCAGCAGCCATCAGCGAGATGTATACCAAATATACTCAGATTTCTGCCCAAAGTGTCCAGAAGATCTTGCATTTCGTCACTGTCTTCACCTAGCGGGACAGTATTGTCTGCATACTCCAAGTCAACCAGATGGCCTCCATGGAGTAGATGAATCCATGAGAAATCAGAAGTATCTAAGGTTATGTGCTTTAATGTGACTATCTCGAAGTTAAATAGGAACGGTAACAGTGGGCACCCCTAGTGGACATCACTAGTTGTCGTCAATTCTTATGACAACTCTCCATAGGCTCTTACACGGTTGGGGGATTTCGAGTAGAGACCTTCAATTAGGGTTATATACTTGCTCGGCACTCCGTTCACAGTCAGACACTCCAATAACGCCTAACGGTCGACAGAGTCAAAGGCCGTCTTCAGGTGAACAAATATGACAAGTGTCGGTCGCTGGCAAGTATTCCTGTGTTTCATGATCTGATTCTAAGTGAAAATGTGATCGACCCACCCTCGTCTTAGTCTGAAACCTGTCTGGTTTTCTCGAGTTTGCTGTTCTCAAGCTCAACTTGAGCGTCGGATAACTATAGAGCCCTAGATCTTTGACACAATATTAGTTAAAATAATTCCATTATGGTTGTTAGAGGAAAACGCCTTTCCCTTCGTATGGACTGGGGTGATAAGTCTGATGGCGCGACCTCAGATTCCCACACACTGCATAGTATCTCTTATCAGTAGTTTCCTACCTCCATCCTTGAAAACGTCGGGTGGCAGACTTCCAGGCTCTGCTGTTTTCCGTCGTTTCAGGTTCAACACAGCAATCTCAATCGCCAGGACTGTTGGGAAAATGAAATCTACTTCCCATTTAGGTTCAGACTGAATGCTGGACTACTGAAGCGTTACTGAAGGCCAATCGAACTACTATCCGCTCAACTTTCTAACTGCCTGTCCTTGGAGGCTGTCAGCATTCCATCCCTTTAGGTGATGGTTTTACTCATCATCGTCTTCTTCTTGTCAGTTTCTTCAATCAACCAAAATAGTTTCCGTGTGTTATTCAACGGTGATGCCTTCTCCATCTTTGTCGCTTTCACTACTTACCACTGCTCGCGATCGACACGAAGACTGTTCATCAGTTTAAGCTTCAATTGCTTCCTCTCTTCAATGTGGCCAGAACATCTGGAACCAATCTTCTCGCATCAGTCATTTCGGATTACGTCGCGGTAATCTAATGATGCTTGCTAACCTTCGAGTTTAGGTTACCAATTGTTTTCATCTCTGTTTCTACAGCAGACTTAATATCATGCTAAGTTTCCATAGGTTTAACATTGCTATCACGTCGAAATAAATGCTTCGCAATCTCCTCCCTAAATGCGTATCTTACGTTCTCGTCGGGTAATTGAGAATAGACAGGCTGTACTATTCACCGTTTCATGATACCAACTAGATCCAGATAAACACATGGCCGTAATAGTGCGTTCTCCAAAAACAGTTGCAATCTTCCAACGATGGCTCAAAGCAATATGATCTACCTATGTCCACCATTAGTTTGATATCGGAACCCACCACCTGAGACAATGTCTCCCCTTATGCTCATAATTAGTGCAACGAAATTGTGAGAGACTTACCTGTCGGTCCGTTGACATGAGATTCCGTAAACACCGCCCCCCTCCACACCCACCCACCGAGAAACCTTTCCGATTGCCTCAGCTCACCTTCCGTACTTAAACAGAGTCCCATGACACAGCCACACACACACATATCTGAATGTTTTATTTTCTGTATCAAAAGTGACGACAGCTTCCCAGAATTCGTCCTTCGCATCATCCAAACTACAGTTGGTGGGTGCGTGGGAGGAGACTATCAATAGGCATCGGTTGGTTTCACAACCCTTCCTTGTCCTTACATATGCGTTCAATCAAACAGCAGATAGATGACTGTTGACTGGTATCCAGTAGATAGTACACTTTCTGGTCTACAGCTCAATGCCATGCCTAAACTACCAAGTCCACGACAGTTCACACCAATGAGTCTCCGGATACTCGTAGGTTGAATTTTGAATATTCATTACAGTGACTGTGTAAGGTCAATTTAGTGACCATATTCGAGTTCTGTATACGTGTCTCAAAGACAGGATGTATTCGTTGGTAAAATTCCAGTGTTTCGATGAGCGATGCTTGTTGTCCTGTCTGACATAGAGTTTGGACGTTGAAATCTCCTACATAAAACCGATGTGGTGGTTTTAGAAGAGTAGGAATGAGGTGTCGGTGGTTTTGATGGTTGGCGATAGTCAGAGGATGAGAAGTTGAGGATTGTGTGAGAGGCTTACAATTAGTATGAGGATGTGAAGAGAAATGAGAAGACAGAGTTGAGGAGGATGGAATGTGTTTGGTTGGGTCTTGTGTACAAATGGAAGCATGAGAGCGGTTGACACTTCCTGGCTGCCCATACTGTAGAAGACTACTTTTTTTTAAGGTATCTGAGAGAGAAATTGGCTTGCATGACCACAGAGCCCATGAGACATTTGCTTGAGACCATTCACACACAGCCTGTCGGGGACTACTGTTTTGAGGTCCGATTGTGCTAACGCCGGATAGACAGAACCCATACCGGTGACACTAGAAGAAATTGTGGCACAGAGAAGTATACTGTCTTTGAGATCAACCTTCTCTAACCTGTTCCCCATAGTGAAGGCAGGATCAGAAGAGTGCTACTGGTCAGCCAAGGGAAACATTACTCTAACCACAACCTATCCAGCTAGCAACAGTTCGACTTCGCCCTCAGACCCCCTTCATATTGTAGTAATTCACACTATCAAGGTAACTGGCTTTCGTTTCTACACTACCCAGCAGACCTTTCTGGTATGGTAGGACCTCGAGGGAACAAGCTTTACAGATGGTGTAGCTCTTTGGGTAATTCTGATTTATAAGCCTGACCACCACGTCAAGATATCAGCTAAAGGCCTGGACTTTCTGAGGGACTCACAGCAATATATATATATATATATATATATATATATATATATATATATATATATATATATACTCAGAAGCCAGTTAAAGGTGAACTGTGTCGTAACTACCTCCGCCTCAGTTCAGAGCAGTCAATTCCTAGAAAGCTTGTTGACTAGCTTATTTCCACAAGTAATCATTGAAAGCCAATATTTCTGATATCTTTCCAGAGGTAAACCAGATAAATTTGGATAGTTTAACTTAAGAACTTGGTTTATTTGGAACTCATCCTCCAACTTAAGCATCTCTCTTCTTATATATTTAGAAACAATTTGCATTAACTCTACATCTACCCTGGTAATATTTATCTTATCTTTTTTACAAGAGTGGTTACAAAAGTTATTCTTTCTTACCATTATCTCTCTTATTCTTATGTTTCTCATTGTCATATGTGCTATATTTAACCTGCTTCTATTTTCGCTTTTCTTAGGAACACCTTAACAAATAAATATGTGCTCATATTATTCAAAATGCACGCTGTATTCCTCAGTTAAACCACGTCTTGTAATTGTGCTATGTGGATTCATATAAGATAATAATCGTTTCAAATTTATGGAAAGTGAACGAGATTACCGCGAAGAAAACAAATTAGATTAGAATAATGACATAAAGTTCTTCATATGTTTCGAGATCCATCCACCTAGACAGCAGAAAAAAATATAAGCAATCAACCCACTCATCTTAAGACAACGACTTCAGTTACGTTAATAAAAACTGAATCACTAAAGATATCAACCCATCAGCACTCACAATGTCTATCCAGTGTCCTATCAACAATGTATGGAATCTGATTATCGGCTAGATTTTAGTCTCAGCATAGTATATCCAGTTGCAGGATATGAATTATGCGATGTTAGTTGAAACAATGTCAATGTGATCAAGTTTATAACCACGTAATTATTTAAGAATAAAAATCTTATTCATTGCTAAACTAACCTTTTTCCAAACATTACCCATATTACAAATATCTTTTATCAGTTTTCCAAAGTGTTTAGGAAGAAATGCAGCTAGATAAACTAAATCAAGCCAAATATGTTGTGATATCCAGTTGAATGGTGGTGTATAATGAACTGTTTCCATCAATGATGTATTACCTCGTATAAAGAAAGCTAATTCCTTCGGTTTAATCAACTTTTCATCTTGTTGTAAGCGTATTGCTAATTGAAATGATAATAATAATTTGTGCTGTTCAAATATACCTAAACGTCAAAGAAACATATGATCAGAATGTATAAGCAATAAATGTATATTACTATTTATTGACATACTTATTATTCTCCGTTGTTTTGTTGGATAGAATTGTTTGACCACTAATTGGCATATGGGCTCCTATGAGGATGCTTCGATATTGCCTGAATGTTAGTTATGATAATTTAGTTGGTTGTGGCTGGCAGAAGAATCCAAGATGGCCGTTTCGTCCTACTTGGGACTCGTCAGCTGGATGTACCTGCATCTCAGTGATGTTGTTCCCGCTGAGACTGGAACCTCGTACCCATCGATTCAAACGCCAAAGCATTATCCACTAGCCACATCCAACCAGATTATCATAAATAAATGAATATCTGAAAAAAATGAGTAGACAAAACCATGCAGAAGTACAACTTTGGTTAAAAGGGCAAAATGATGTTCAAACACTGGTCTGAGATGCGGAAGCAATTCCACAATGAATAAAGAAAGATGCCTGAAAAGACTAGTAGTGAAGTCTTTGACCCTAGTCATAACAGTAAAACGTTCAGAATCTTCTAGCACAAATGAGTTTTTTTAAGACACGCTCTGCTCATTTGTAAAAGCAAATATCCAAACTTGGTCCAAGGCTCCTGTCAGCTAAAGCCTACAATATAAACATGAGCGAAGTATATTACAATGTTATTGCTTGTATTATCCCGTCTTTGAGTAGACCGAATTGACCAGTCTCTATTGGTATATAGGCTCCTGTGTGGATGCCATGATGTTGACTGTGTTTGAACTATATACTAATGATGGGTAGTGGCTAACAGTGGAATCCAGGATGCTCATTTATCCTATTTGAGACTCAGCGGTTAAGTGGATAACTCTCTGGCGTTTGAAGCAATCGGTCTTGAGTTCCAGGCCCGAATAACATTCTGTGAATAACACTACTCACTAGGAGGCAAGTATATCTAGCTGACGAGTCCTACCTAAATAGGACGAAATGCGCATCCTCGATTCCTATGCTAGCCACTGTCCATCATTATTCTAAAATATATTAGAGTTTCGCACCTAATAGCTGTGTTGTACAGTTGACCAAAAGGTTTCAACTAGCACTTAAGCCACAATAACTAAATTGGTTAAACAGCTCATACACAAGAGGCTTCACACAATTCTTGCCTTTGACGAATTTGAATAATCTCCTAAATTGGTAAATACAATATTTCATGACTGGATGACCCTTAATTTTTTTCACTTTGTTTGTCGATCTATTTCAAAACCTATTCTCATATTGTGGGTTATGTGAGTTATTACTCAATATAATGAAAACCTGTTGACTTTTTATTATACTCACTTAACCATGACGTCCTTTTGCATTACGTGCCTTTTTAACATTGTGCGCACACCCCTCCTATATATATATATATATATATATATATATATATATATATATATATATATATACGGTCGCAGTCCAAATTTTTATTTCACCTTCAATCATTACCCAGTAGAAATACTAGTCTGCCAGGCTACTGCCCTCAGATATATATATATATATATATATATATACTTCCATTTAATCATTAGATGATCCATAGAACCGCAATTTACCACTTCAGTCAATTCCTGATAAAGTCTAACTGTTATAATTTGACCAATTCCTCCATAAATCACCAATTTAGCTCTAAAGGTAACTTTAAATATTCCCTTTAATCTTTCATGTTTCGTGTATTATGACTACTCACGCTATTACATAGTATATATTTGGTACATTTAAGTGGCAATATTGAACAAGCTATTTATTAGGCAAATAATTGTATCCTGGTATATACATAATTTCATGTAGGTTTTCCAAACTTTTCAAAAATGAATATAGAGAAACTGTGTGGTAATTGAACTTCATGTTTTCCATACATCTTCACTGTTTTTGTAAGGTAAATATTTAAAAACATTATTTGAAGCAAATATTTAATCACTAGTGAATATGGAGCAAAACTGCCACACTAGTGCCTTGGTTAAACACTAACCAGATATTCTTGTTAATCACTATACTTTTACATTATGATCAGGCATACATTATCATTCGATAAAACAATTAGCTAACTAATTAATGTACATTTAACAAATTTGAGTAAAACACTAACAATATAACCAGAAACTCACCCATACATCCATAACAGTAGATTACATAAGTCAATGAATTCTTAATATTAGTTAAACGTTTAGTAAGTGAACTGTTTGGCATTGCTTTTTTAAGTGCTTTTACAAACACAGTCAAATAGGCAGATAATGAAAATTGATACATTGGACAAACAAGTGATAAATCAGATAAAATAAAGAACAGTATAGCACCTCTTCTACAATTTAAGAAAATAAAATATATAAGAATAAAATACTGAAAGTTGTCTACAAGCAAATAAGTATCCTTATATCCGATAATAATAACTGTAGATCTGATTTTCTGCACTACTGTAGCTTGTCAAAATATCTTTTCAACATATAAATTAAATGTAGAAAAGTCTGAATTGCATTGACCTATTCTTGAAATACTAAGCTAAGTGAATTCGAATTTATTAAAAATAATGATTCTATCATGGCGTTGCTTTAACATTTCCAATAATAACACCTTGATAGTATTGTGTCTAAAGTCGATAGTTCAACTTATGCTTCCTGATTCACTTTATTTCAGAAGTGATCTATTTTTTTCTTGTTATAATCGGCAATAGAGAGTGAAGTATTTATGATTCCTAATTCATTGTAAAGATACTTCAGTTTTACACTGAAAAATAAAAATTCTTAGATGAAATATACAGTTTCATGCAGTAAAAATGTGATTCTCCAACAGTTTACAAAAAGCACTGTTATTTACTTCAAGCTGTTTTTTATGAAAGGTAAGAGCAGAATTACCCATCTGATATCTTTACAATTATTTCTGTTATAAATCTAAGCCATTAAGTTTTCTCAGAACATGAGATACTTTCAGAAAACATTGTAGTAATTGTTTTCATGATACACAAATAAGCAAAACTCAAAGTTGAAAGGAAAAAGTCCTTATAAATGTAAGTGTTAGATAATTCCTAGAAAAGGTTTCCCATAAACAAGTGATCCTATCAAAGTTATTATAGGAAATTATAGAGTAAAGGTACAATGGTAAAATCAACTGAATGACAATTAAAATCAATAATCACATCATCATAGAACAAAGCATAGAATGGCAGTCAACTAGATCTCTACCTCAACTTCATCGATTTTGAAAAGACCTTCGACAGCGTTGACACAGAAGTAATTTGGTAGTTGCTGCTAAGGAATACTAAAAACCTTTATCAACCTCATTCAGCAGCTATATGAAGACACTACATGCCAAGTGATTCACAATGGAAAGCTCAGTAACGCCTTTGAAGTGGGGACAGGAGACAGAAGTAAGACAAGGTTGCCACCTACTATCACCGATCGTCTTCCTGATTGCGGTGGACTGGAGTGTGTAACAAACTGTGAGGAGCGAGAAGAGGGACATACCCTGGCTGGATCCACGAAAAGACTTCAGAAAAAGATTTGGATTTCGCCAGTGATGATTTATGTCTAATGTCCTGTCACGCAAACTCGAAGATCTACAGGCAAAAACCAACAAGTTGACAGAAGAGGCAGAACAGCAAATACGGGACTTCCTTAAGGTTAACGTAGAGAAGACAGAGATAGAGGTGATGAAGATACCCAACCAACAACAACAAAAGAAGCCTAAAGGAAGTAGTCCCTTTCTCCTACTTACCTACGCAGCATCGTTTCAACTACAGATGGCACAGGCAAAAAATGGGGACATCAAAGCAGCCAGGATCGGAAAGACAACAAGACAGGCCTTTCTTCATCAACCTGAAATCAGTGTGGAAATCTACTGTACTGCACTCAGTATAAAGCGTGAACAAGATTCGGATTTTCAACACTAACTAAGTCAAGTAAGTCAGTGAGTGCGTCTATGTGATGGTTGAGAGATTTGGCGTGTTACGAAAAGTATTTCCAACAAAACTACAGACATACATCATCAATAGCTGCCACCTACGCCCACTCGATACTGAAGATCAGGTCAGATAGCCAGAATAATGAGAATAAGCAAGGAGGAACCCTGACTGGCCTCGCAACGAACCAACGAAGAGAGAGCCTTTCGTCCAACAGATATGCAGAAGACCGAAGTGGAGATGGATTGGATTGAACATAGACTGAGAAAGCTATTCGGAGACATCATGCACCAGGCTAGGCCGTTGAGTGGAATCCAAATGGGAAACGACGAGTTAAGCATCCGAGGCGAGGGTGACATGGAGGAGATGGTGTGAGGAAGAAATGAAAGCTTATGGGCAGTGGTGGAACCATGTTGACAAGAATGCATAGAGGAGAGTGGGATGTTGACGTGCTTCTGATCCATATGATCCATTAGGAGAAATAATAATAAATAATCAAAATCGCTTACAAGCTAACTCAAGCTAAATCTCTTCTTTCTTGATTATAGTAAGAAACCAACTAGTTTTTAATATCTCTACAGAATTGACATTCTTGAGTTTTAGTTCAGACTTCTTACAAGGATATTCGTTTCATAGTAATAATAGATAGTGGCCAGCAGTGGAATCCAAGATGCACTTTTCGTCCTCTCTGGGACTCGTCAGCTGAGTATCCCTGCTTCTCAGTAAGTGATTTCGTTTCTACTAATATATAAACCAAGGACTAGGCGCTCCAAACTCCAAAGCTTTCTTTATCCACTAAGCCACTGAGTCACGATAACCACTTGTTATGAGAAGAGTACAGTTCTGATGTTATGACTTTCGAGTGTCGGTAGGAACAACACTACTCGCTAGGAGGCAGGTATATCCAACTGACGAGTCCCAAATAGACAACTAACTGATTTGCACGCAGTATCTACCAGAAAACTGCATTAGATGACGACTGTATGCACTATTAGATGGATGGAAGTTTCGTGCCTGTTAGCCCTCATCAGCAAGGTGTATGTACAACCCTAAGGGAAATGAAGTCTCCTGCGAGATCTAAACCCATGTCACTCAGTGCTGTAGTCGGAAACGTTACAACTAAGCTATTTGGGCCACGAGTGACCTGGACTGGGTTAGGTACATTGATTAGTTACTGGATCGCAACCAACTTCATATAGTCTAGTCATAAGTGCTAATCGAATTCCATCGATCATCCTGCAATATGGTCAACAGACTAGGAGTCTCATCATCACGATGCACTGTGAAAGATGTTAGTTGGTTGGTAGCACTTGGTAGAAAGCCATGGACCTGCATTTCATGCTTGTTAGCACTCATCAACAAAGTGTATCTCCAACCCCTAACTTGTAATAGTTTCCAAAATGACTTTAGATTATAAGAAATCTACCAGTTCCTTAACATAACATGACCCAACTATAAAATATCTCGGTTGACCGACAAAGGACAGTGACTATCTTCTAAATGTGAAGTCAAACCTTACTTATATTATTACTACATAGCTTATTTTATGAGTTCTCTTTTGACGCCTCACTTATATATATATATATATATATATATATATATAATTTCGTTTTCTGAGCAAAACATCACTACGTTTTTGTAAACTGTCGTAAGTTGAGAGTCAGTGATTCATGTATGTTTTTTGCATGAATCGTGTTATTATTTGATTTGGAATCTTGTGAAATGCCACCAGCAGAAAGGCTTTACCTCGTTCGAGACTCTGAAGTTATTACAATTAAGACTATGAAATGTAGAATTTATCTGCACAAAGATGTCATGTATCCTTCTTTTACAGATCATGTAGGTTTCAGCTTCGTCGACTAATGAAAAGAGGTTGGAAAAATAAACCTCATGACTTCTCTCTTATATGGTTTACATCTGCAAGAAGTTAGAATTGTAGTTGGATATGATTGTAGGTCGACTAAAATAATATGATCGTCCAGTCATAGTAAGGTTGTAATATGCACATGTGAACTACAAGTAGATTAAAGGAAGCAGAAGAAATTAACTAACAGAATACTTAACAAAAAAAAATACCTTGCAGCTGAACGAAATGAATCTCTTTGACGTTCTACATCTTTAGATACAATCGCAGCTTGAGCTAGCTGTTTGCCAATTTCAACAGCTTTATTTTTTATATCCTCCAGAGTGCCGATCAAATCCCAATTGTCTAATATACTACCAGTCTGTGTAGCTAGTTCTAACAGCAACCGATCTTCCAATTCTTTGAGGATCCTTTTATTCTCACTAATTGTTTATATGAGTAATAAAAAGGAAAATTCTTGTCTACATAATATTTAAAATAGTAGTAGATGACCCTTACAATTAAAACAAATTCTGATAATGAGGCTTCTATTAGTGTTCATTTGGAATAAGAGAAATAAATATAAGCAAAAAGTGTGAAAAACAGACTGTGATCTTGTCTATAAAGTGTGTATCAGTAAAATCTATATCCTAATGATCATACACAAATGGGATCAGCTGCTTTAGACATACTGAATTGAATTCTGAATACTTAGTGGTTGATTATTTAGCAATCTGTCGGCACAAATGTTTATTGACCAACTGAATTGTTGTGAACAAATAATAGTAATAATCATATTCCAAAGTGGCTTCAGAAGCAAATTAAATCACCTGAACCTATAAATGTTGGTAGCAGACGTCCAAGTTCTTCGATCGCTAAACATATCATTGAGACAGGTCACAAGATTGATGTGGCTACTTCCTTTACACCTATTCACAAAACATGTTGGGGAGGGATCCTGAAATTTATTGAAGCCTTATCTATTAGGAAGTTGAAACCACCTTTATGTATTCATAAACAATTTGTTGTTTCTTTGGTAAATTCAACTATTGAAAAAACAAGTTCGATGTACTATTATTTTTTCGCCCTATTGATTTTTATTGTTATTCGGCCTTTAAGTCAGCCTTCCTACCTGACCCCTTTTTATTCTTTCTCACTCCTTATCTTCATGAGTTTTTTATATAAATACCTATGACAAATACGTGTGTGATCAGATAGTTCGAAATGTGTTACGCAAATACATTACACGGTTCAGACAATTTACGTCTTCTTATTGTTTTGTCGAATAGTAACTTTATGAAACTACTATGAGAGTAATACTAAGAGTATTCTTGCACTGTCCGATATCATTAAAACATAAAGAAAAATGCTAAGATGAAGTAATATTACAGACAACTTTTTTTATTTTTAAATTCATACAATTTGATAGTATAAATATAATTATAAAAAATTAAATTTTGAGGGGGTTGTGGAGATTTGGAGCTCGTTGGTGACTAGCTTCGAGAAGTATTCCCGAAGTTCCAATGACAAGTCGTGACCGGTGGAGTCAAAGCCTGATGGCCGTGAGGACGAATACTCAACGATGACATTGGGTGGCGGTTTGCGCTATATCGTGAGCTAACAGAAGTTGGAAATATGGAGCATTGGATTCTGACCCAGTGGCCAGCTCAATGGTAACGCGCTGGTTGCGGAACCTGAAGGTCGCGGGTTCGATCCCTGCTGGTGGGGTCGTGGGTGCGCACTGCTGAGGAGTCCCATACTAGGACGAAACAGCTGTCCAGTGCTCCCAGGTTTCCTTTGTTCCTCCAACTGATGTCAGTCTTCGATGAATAACAACTTGAAATATAAAAAATTAGTTGAGTATTACTTTAGACTTGTCTATTCCAGTGTATACGTATGTCGCATAATGTAGTTGAAATGAATTACGCACTTTCTTAAGACTTAAATAGCATTGTTTGGTAGTATTTATCATGAACTGAAATAACAAAAACCTGAGAAATAAATAAAATCCCTAAAAATCTCAAAATGAATGACATTTTTCCCAATTTCAAGAAATATAATGTACGTCTCATTAGTTATATTGGCCTTAGTGATCAGCAGATGATCAGCCGGATGTACCTGGACTACAATGAGTGATTTCGTTCCTACTGAGGCTCGAAACCGGTAACCTTCGCTTCAAGACAAGAGGTGGCCATCGTATTAAGTGACTTAATGGAAAACGCTCTGGAGTTTGAAGCGAAGGGTTCGGCCCTCAGTGGGGTGCAGATACATCCAGCTGACGAGTCCTAAATAGGACGAAATGTGCCTTCTGAATTCTTCTGGTAGTCACCGAGATCAATATAACATCAGGAATAATCAGCATTCTCGAGTTATTCGCGTAGAAGCCCATCTGCCTACAGAGGTCAAGCAATTCGACGCTGCATAGCAACGGGACATTACGAGTATCATCAGGTTCTAATAATAATAATCATTTTATTCCAAATAACATATGTGATACAGTGTGGAATTTTCAACAGGTAATGTTCCAACAAATATATCCTTCATAAAATATTTTTTATTGAAATAATTTTTGCAGCTGAATCGTTTTATTAATAGCAGTAATAAAGGCTTTAATGACAAATGGATAACTGGTGTTACGTTAGCTCCTGATCTGGACTTTGGGATGAATACAAAATCGAGTGTAGTTATTGGTGTTGGTAGTTTAGTCAGCCAGTACAAAAATCTGTAGTTCAATATAGATATTCTAAGAATATTATTATGCTGTATTTTTGAGCATTTATATGCTTATTTCAAACCGGTATAGCTTCCTTCCTTTGTTTCGCACTTAGCTTGAGAAACGATGACAGTTTGAAAACATTTTAAAAAGATGCGAGAGTACATGATACATTTAGAAGACATACCTAAAAGATTAAAACAAACATAAAGGCAAGATCTCAATGAAAGCATTTTTTGATAGCCCAAAGTTTAAGCAGATCGCTAAAATCAATTTTACGTAGAGTTATAAAATCAGTTTCGTTAACATATTAAGAACCAAAATAATGCAATGAATACACCATAGAATGGGCATGGAATTATAGTCAAAATGTGATTAGTATATATAATCGTTTTTATATCATACCATCGTTGATTGGACTGAATTGATCGGTCTCTGCTGGTATATGAGCTCCTGTGATGATGCCTTGATATTGCCTGTCCTCTTATGATAGTAATGACGGATAGTGGCTAGCTGTGGAATCCAGGATGCCTATTTCGTCCTATTTGGAACTCTTCAGCTGGATGTACCTGTCTAAGTTTCTGGATGGTAGTATAATTTATATATGTAGGTCAGTTGTGGTGATAAAATGAGTGTCGACTTTGTCAATTGGTCGGTGATCGAACGTATGGGGAAAGAAAATTAATAATAAAGTTCATAATTGCATCGTGTAGAGTGAGTGATTAGTACAAGAACTGATATAAGTTTTTAGGGAGTTGTGGGGATTTGGAAATATTTCAAGTTGTTATTAATCGTAGACTGACATCAGTTGGAGGGACAAAGGAAACCTGGGAGCACTTGACAGCTGTTTCGTCCTAGTACGTGACTCCTCAGCAGTGCGCACCCACGACCTTCAGATTCCGTGGCCAGCACGTTACCATTGAGCTGGCCACTGGGTCAGAATCCAATGGTCCATATTCCCAACTTCTGTTAGTTCACGAACTGGTGCTCATTGGTGACTAGCATCAAGAGGTATTCCCCAAGTCCCAATGAGAAGTCGTGACCCTTGGGGGCAAAGCCTGATGGTCGTCAGGGCAATTACTCAACAATGATATTGGGTGACGGTTGCGCTATGTCGTGAGCTAACAGAAGTTAGGAATATGGACCATTGGATTCTGACCCAGTGGCCAGCTCAATGGTAGCGTGCTGGCCATGGAACCTGAAGGTCGTGGGTGTGCACTGCTGAGGAGTCACGTACTAGGACGAAACAGCTGTCCAGTGCTCTCAGGTTTCCCTTGTTCCTTCCCTTGATGTCAGTCTACGATGAATAACAACTTGATATGAGTTTACTTAAGGGTAGAAATGGAGTGAATATATATATATATATATATATATATATATATAACCACAAGATGGTTAATATATGAAATGACAGTAATAATAAGAGTGGTAATAATGTTTAAAAGAACTTTTACGGGAATTTTAGAGGGTTATTATAATAAGATGGGAGGGAAGTCTGGTTCGGAATGACAGTGATAACAATTTAAAGGGAAAGAAAAGTAGGGAATGTGAATGAAAGCAGAAACGAAAAAGAAAGATTAGGAAAGAAACAAAAGGGTTGATGGGATACTGTTTAGTTAATAGAAGATCAAGCACTACTTTCATTCCCTTCCTTACCATTACCACTGATCATTTTTGACTATTTGAGATAGCTGTAGTTTGGCAGACTAGGATTTATACTGGGTGATGACTGAAAGTGAAATGAAGATTTGGAACGCGGCCGGATTCCAACCAGCAACTACTGGGTTTCCGACCTCATGCTCTACCAACTGAGCCACGAGGACCTTGTATCCGACCGTGGTCCAAGTTTTCATCTCACCTTCAATAATCACCCAGTAACACTATTACTACTCTTATTATCATCGTCATTTCACATACTAACCATCTTATGATGATATATTCGCTCCATTTCTTGTGCTAATCACTCAATCAACACAATGCAATCTTGAAGTTTCTTAGTAATTTTCTTTCCGTATACGTCTGATCACTAATCAACTGACAAAGTTGACACCCAACTTATCACCACAGTTGACATACACTACCATCAACAGGGCCGAAGAATCAGATTTTATTTGCTATACCATACCCACTCCTAAATGCTAGCTACTTATATGTTAACGAGATCGATTTTATAACTGCAGAAGGTGATGCGAAGTTATTGAAAAGAATATCCTTCGCTCATATTTTACTATTAATATATGAAATAGGAATTTTTAACTATCTGAAATCGTATAAAAAGGAATTATCCTGAAAAAGAATGGATGTAGCGTATTAGGTCAGAACGCCTTCATTTGGTACGGCTCAATTATGAAATGGACATAGGTACTATTGGTCCACTCAAAGCAACTTCTCAAAGTCGTACTAGTTGTAGTAGTTCAGCTGTCTGAGATAAGTCAATCCGGATTCATCACTGATAGACCACTTTCCAAATGAACTTTACAGTGATCCAAATTGTGCTACTCATAGACATGGTAGGTCTCAGTTAATAATGTCAGACAGAAGTATGTAGCGTGAACATGTTTTATCAAGTAAACGAAAATTTCAAACCGCGCTTACTATTCGAATACAAGGTAATTCTTTTACAAATCAGACAAAAACTAATCTTGGTAGATGTGTAAAATAAGAAACTACTTAAGATCATATACCTCGTCTCCATGATTAGCATCTCTCGTCTTTCTTCTAGTTCTCTATGTTCATGTTTTATCAAAGTACTTAATAACTGTCCTTCTAAACCGTTCATTGTTACTGTATAATTAATAATTAATGCTCGGCTAAAAAGATTGGCTTGAAATTGAGGATTTGGTAATTTTGTTAAGATATACAAACGAAAACTCGGATCATATTCAACTTCACGATCACCCAACATCACAGTATCTCGACCTTTGTTCCCTAGATATATGAAAAGAAATATATAGAAGAATAAAGTAAATTTTACTTGCTGTCTAAATATTGTAACAAAGATCCAAGCTGATGGAATTAAATTAGTTGGAAGCCAAGTAATCACTTTTTAATTAAAACAGATTTTTTTACAAAACAGAGTATTGCTACTCAGTTCAATTATAGGGAACCGTCGAAATTATCTATAAAGTGAAAGCAAATGATTCAAAAGGTGTACGAAGTCGCCTTCTGTGCATGGTGAAGGCACTAACAATTCATCAATTAAGACCGAACATCTGTATGCAGAAGAAGTACATTCACTCTTTACTTTTACTATGCTGGAACGAGAGTTTTCTTTGCTGATTAGCTCTTTCTTCTCCTCAGGACTTGATAGGAATAGTTCATCGATGAGAGTTAATCAACTTAGACTTATAGCCGAATAACTGGCTATCTACCTTTTTCATTCATCACTGAGGAGTTTAACAACTTATACAGCTTCATTCTCCGGAAAAGTACCGCCCAATAACCTGGGAAAAGTGGTAAAAATCCACTTTTTCACCTCTTTATTCAGATTATAAATAAGAATACGTTTCTGTTACGAATTCTATTTTCATTTTGACAGCAGTATGATTTTCGTACAATAAAAAGTGAAAAAGTTCAAGAATAGACTTATTAGTTACTAGCTGATGACTGCGATAATATCGCATTTCTCAAAGTTCATCTGAATCAATCCCTGTACACTGAAGTTAGTGTTCAGAGCTTTGAAGTACTTAAAAGGAACCTATGTAGGTGTGAAAATTGGGCCCTTTATTAAAGTATAGTTTCATATGATATATGTATATATGTACATATACGTGTATATATATTCTTGGTCAAGGCGGCCGATCAGGACCATCCAGAATAGCGGGGAACACAAATCTAGCGAAACGTGGAGTGACATTTCCTACTAAGATGGGAAATTTAGAAGAAAACTTGGCTATCACTCTGTAAGCACTGACGTAAAATGACTCTTTCGGATAAGAAGTAGTGGCAATTCTAGAAGCCAATATAGCTAGGTGCTGAGTTGTATTCATCATATTATTTGATATAATGAAAATCGTTTAACCTTTTAATAGGCTTGCTTAATCATGATGCTAATTTTCGTCAACTTTATCATAATATTATTTACAACTTCTTTCACCTATCTAGGCAGCACCGTTTCAACTACAGGCGGCACAGACACAGATGAGGATGTTAAAACCAGGATCGGAAAGATAGCAAGACGGGCTTACATTAGTCTGAAATGATTGCGAAGATCTACTGTATTCAGCATAAAGCGTGAACAACATCCGGATTTTCAACACCAATTTCAAGTAAGTCAGTGCTGCTATATGGTTCAAAAACTTGGTGTGTCACGAAAAACACTTCCAACAAACTACAGACATTTATCAACAACTGCCTACGCTGGCTTGTTACTGAAGCTCAGATGGCCAGAAAGAATAAGCAACAAGGAACTCTGGGAATGAAGCAACCAGGAACCTATCACCCAACAAATATGCAGAAGAAAGTGGAGATAGACTGAGTATACACTGAGAAGGCCAAGTGGAGACATCGCGTGCCAGGCCCTCGAGTGGAATCCAAACGAGTTGTGCGTCCAAAGCGAGGGTGATATGCAGGAGATGGTGTGAGGAAGAAATGAAAGCTTGTGGGAAGTGGTGGAGAGACGTTCAAGAGACTGCAGAGAACAGAATGCAGTGGCGACGTGAAACTGAAGCCCTATATTCCACTAGGAACTCAAGAGAAAAATAATAATTATAATTATATACAGCCTCTCTCTTTTCTCTAGAATGTTCATGTGATCATTGGAAAAAATGAGTTATCTTAACAACTTCATCAAATTTTTTCCCTTTTAGTCGGCCTCCATCTCAATTAATACAACTGTTTCATATAGTCAAATTGACAAAACAGTTGGGCAGAAACAGTAAAACACATCCATCCTAATTCTGCTATTGTTGTTCATACCTCATTCATGTATAAATATATCAGAAAGATGAGAGTTTGAAATACTTATTCAATGAACATATCGTTCAAGTATCAGAATATCCTTTCTACTGATTGATTTCAGAAAAATCTTCAATAAAACTGAAGAAATTTTACAATATATCCAGAATAGTCTATCATTAATCCTTATATTTGCGTATAATTCGACTAGTTATACACTTTCCGAAAAAAATAGATGAGTTATATTGAACTGATCGGTCATTATCTCAAAACTTGATTGCCAAACAAATTTCCATTTCGTATATTAACCACTGAAGATATTGTTGATAAACTTTATATTATCTTAACATTTCATATATTATTTACTATCATATAATCCTGTGTATCTCAGTGCTAAAATTCTCAATTAAATCCAACATTTACACGAGACATATGTGAATTATGCAGTCTAGAAAATATATAACAGTACTAATAATGAAAAGTTGTATTTTACCAAATGGTATCAGCATAAGTTAGTTTCAGAAGGAGATCTACAATCGAAACTTACTTTTTACATTACGATATAAAATATTATTTAACGCTGGATCAATATATTCTCCAACATCTTCAATTAAACAAGCTATACCAAATTTGATAGCATTTTCAACTATTCTAAGAAAATTCGGATCATTTTGTGTTGTCACCTAGATAGACAGATATATATATATATATATATATATATATATATATATATATATATATATATGTCAGAAATAGTTTAATTATATAACTAAATAAATGTCAAGTGAGTTATATGTGTTTGGTGAATAATAATAGGACTATGTTAGATTTATTAATATAGGGGTAAAACCTGGGCACTGTGGTAGAAATTAGTTCCATATTAGATTTGTTTATTTGATTTATAACACACAGTGATCTAGTATTATTTACTTGATGACGACATTTCGAGCATAAATTATTATTGCTCATAATCATATCGGTGTAATCACATTACTTTCGATATGTTCCGATTTCAACACAGTAAATGTATAGGACTAAAACATTTAGTCCTACACCAAAAATATGGTGGTGATATGTGGATGACACATTTACTGTGTTGAAATCGGAATATGTCGACAATTTCCTCATGCATAACATAAACTCAGTAGTAAACGCAATCCAATTCACTTACGAGATAGAAAATGAACAAGCAGAATTACCTATGTTGGACTGCAGAATAAAATGAAGAACAGATGGTAGCTTGGATACTACAGTCTACAGAAAACCAACATATTTCAACAGGTATCTAGACTTCAAATCATCCCATCCAATGTCAGTTAAGGCAGGATTAGTCAAATGTCTAAATGATAGAGCTAGAAAACTGACTAGTCAGAGCAAGAACCTAAACAAGGAATTGAAACACGTAATAGTTAATAATTATCTTTCGCAGTTTATTAAAAAATTCCTACGGACACACAAAAATGAAAAAACAACAGTCACATAAGTACGACTAATAACGACAACGCGAGTAGAAAGGAGTTCACAGACTCCATTGTACAATCCTATAAGGAGGTTACCTCAGAAACTTTAGGTAGAATCCTCAACAGAGCTGGAATTAGAGCGGCATTTAAACCTACAAACTCACTCAGAGATAAACTTTGTCGGTTTAAGAATCCGATAGAATCAATTAGGCAAAATGATATAATCTATCAGATTCCATGTAATGACTGTGACTGTGACTGTGGTTGGACATCATTCCAACTAAGAATAAACAAGTAAATGGAAAGTGATTAGTAAATTATTGAAGAAAGTATTCACTAGGAAGTTAATGAATTACTTAAATTATGCTGTTGAACCAAAACTCAATCATATATGGAGAAATAAATAAACTATCAAAGTCATGATTTCCTTCTGAATAAGACTAAAGGATTCCTGTAGCTGAATGTAAGTGATTGTAATACATCCATACTATAGGTGTTGAATGGTGTAGCTTTAATTGCGTATTTGTTCTAACTTTAGAAATACAACCAGTGAACTTCACTTTAAAAACTGAAATATACCTATCCAAAACCAGAAACCTTTGCATATCAAAGTCAGTTAAATGTTAAGAACTTCGGCTGTATTTTATGCATATGTTTTTCACCAATAGTAAGATATATTTGATTTAAAATCTCCTGACTCTTCAGATAGGTCTTGTCAAACGCCCTGGTGTTGTCTGAACATCTTGGTGGATATGGCAGATGGTGAGATATCTCCAGACATCCTCTCAGAACGCTCTTGTACAGCAACGCGTAAAGTCCTACCCATTTCATTCATGCGTCAAGGTTGTTTCCAGGAAAACGAAACGGGGGAAGTGAATACCACTAGCTTATAATCGCACTGGTAGATATAGGTGATTTACCTAGGAGTGTTGGCAAACTCTAACTTCAAACCAGTGGTTCATTCTGGCTTCAGGATCCAGAACGAACCAATGGTGCATGAATTTTGTTTGGTCACCTTAAGTTGCTTCTCTCTTTTATGGCTAACACTTCAAGTCGAAAGCTCGCAAAATAGAAGTCTTTAACAACTATCTACTCTCACCTAAGCGTCTAAAAAGCATTAAAATCTAAAAAAGTCATATTTTCAAATACTAACTGCATCGGTTTTAGGTTATTATTTCTAAATTAGTCTTTATTTTCATTATTTTTTCCCCCAGCTACCCGTCAATTATTACATTACCGTCCAGAGTTGCCAAACAATTATTTCCACAAAGCTACCTCATGGCACGATACTTGACCCAATTATTATTAAAGCGTGTGAATGGTCAAGGCTGGCTACTTTCTACGCTAGGACTTTGATAAACAGGAAAGCAAATACGTTTGGCTAGGACTCTGGAAAGCCTTGCTACCGATGTAAACTATATCTCAAAGACCTGTGTGCAATATCCCAGCGTAATGCTTCTAAAAAATTCTCCATCTGTTGGTCAAAAGTAATTCGCTGCTCACTAACCCCAGCGGACCGGGTGGCATCATCTAAAAGCTTTGCTGGTATCGGTTTCTCACTGTGTCACTAGTCAACTGGATAGCCACCAACAGTCATGTATGCAATGTTAAGCTAGAAGTAACCGACAAAATACACAATGTCTATCCGTAATATGTATCTAAGCACTCATAAACCACAGCTCGAATACAATTATGGAAAACTTGTGCCGTCAGTTTATTGGTCCTGTTAGTCAAGTCCACTGGACAGATATCTTAGTGCTAGCTAGGGACTTTAGTGTCCACACCGGGTCCATAGGCTGAAAAGAAATTCCTTTAGGTGACCGGTGTGAATTAGTTGGTCGCAGGTCGGATAGTGGAGAGCGTCTTCTGCATCTTCATTAGTCAACCATTGTATCCATCTCTCTAACGTATGTGATAAACATCGGAGTATTGGTCGATTACCAGTAGCGTCTGAAAAAGTGGGTGCCATCGTACGTCAAAGTCTCTGCAAAATGCATCAAAACTAATACGCGATGAACAGATCAGGTTCTCAGATTCTTGATGGATTAATCATATGTTCACTGTCTTTCAGACGAATTACTGTGCAATTCTCGATAGAAGGGCTGCCTGCAATTTATTGGACCGGGCTACACTCTTGAATTGACTGTTAAGAGGGCGTCCCTGAAAAAATTGTTAATTTAGGGAAGATCCTACATCCGGACACCTCAAGTATAGTAAGGGTGTAAAGCCACGTACCTCTATTGTTTCAAACGAATACAACTGCTCGACTTGACCATTCCCATTTAATTTAGCGGCCGATGGCACTCTCTGGACATATGTTAAGTAGTAGTTATGCAGTGGTGATGTAGACCTGTAACCAAGTCAGAGACATTTTGAATTCCAGTATGATGATAACGCAGGTTACTCAAATTACGATTAGTCAGTTACCAATCAGTTCTCATCAGTACGGTGTATGCTTTGTGCCGTCGAAATGTGAAGTTCCCTCACGAGATTGGCAGGAGCCTGTATCTACACTCATCTCTGTCGGTCAACCAATGGAAGGAGTCGGAAAGTGTATGTTTAGCTGGGCAGTTGTTTGAAAGCTGCTGGAGGTGTGACTGATGATATTTTCACCTGTATATTGAAATCTAAAGCGACTTACTACGTTCTGTGTCATCTCTGGAGCCGTCAAAACGTTACTCATATTTCTAAGGTTTGGAGACTCAATTCATCGATACGAACAGTTCTGCTCTGCACCTGTGAAATCTGACTTCTCCAAACCTAAGGTGTCCAAAGATTTCATTCAATCCAACGCCATATCCATGGGATTCGGTTGAAGCACCATAAGAAGAGTTTCGAGTTCAGGTGATGAAAGTTTGTCATGATAAAGATAGTCATTCACTGAGCGATGTCGATTAAAACGTCGTCTTCAGTGACTTCCATACCGTTCACTGTTCGCCTACTCTGGAATTGGTAAGGGGAAGCGGATATATGATCAACACCTGACGTTCCGGCGTAGAATACAGGATAGTCCCGTTGGGTTAGCATCTGTTAGTATGTTATAACTCCTCACAAGGGGTTCGACAGCTCATGTAATTCATGAGTGCGAGACTATAAATGTTACTATACTATTTTCAGATCTTTTATCTGTTCCGCTTTAACATCTTAGCATTGTAACATTGTTTTATGTGGTACATCTCTTAGTGTCCCTGTTGTATCAAGTATGTTTTAAGTAAGTGAATAAACTAAATTATTTCATTGAATGACTTCATTACAAGGAATTGTTAATTTAATAACTAGACGATATTATAGTATGTCTGTATTTTCTACCGTAAACGAAACCATCACAATATCAATACTTGACATGGAAGCTTTTATGTTTTGGCTGACTTGTAAATACCTTTTATGATGGATTTAAGGTGATTTCTGCCAATTTATAGACTGTTCGGATCCATAGAAAGGCTACTATTGTGCAGTCATTATAGAAATTAACCATCACTGGATCTTCGGACCAAAAGATGACTCTTGTTTATAATCCAAGTGATGTGAGAGACTTCCTGATCAGTTACTACTTGTATACATACAAGTAAAAGCGATGACTTTCTTTCACACTGTCTTGGCAGCACATTATGGATCACAGACCCTTAACTACTGCTAGTTATGACGCAAAATGTAACTACTTTTTGGCTTAAATTAGTAATATTATCGACTAATAAGCTATCTTTACTCCATGGCTATTTATTCCTCCTTGACATTCATGTCCCTTTTTGTGCCTATTATGTTTTACCACTTCTATAAATTTGCTTTTCCTCATCTTCTGACAAGCTGTGAAGCTGAACTAAGGCATATTTATGCTAATTTCTACCTTATTTTGCAGCTTGACAACTCCAATGATGATAGGCAAAGTAACAATGGATATAAACACATTCACCATACTAATTTATTTTTTTTTCACTTGAACACTACTACATAATTACTTCAACTCCTATTCTGATCTTATTAAATTCAAAGCAGTTTAAGTAACTTACCCTTAACGAATGAGTATTGTCTTTAGGATTATATTCCATCTTCTTAATCCATTTCATGGCTTGATCTTGTGGATCAATGCATATTGGTGAAGTAAAACCTTTCATAGTTAATATTGCATTTTGTATACTCATTTCATCTGTTGGTAAGCCTTGTGAGTTCCATAAGGATACTTCAACTTCTGTGGCTAATAAATTTTCAACTCGTATATCTTCTGTGGTAGGAATCTGTTTATAAACATAAATTTACATTTTATGTTAGAATAAAAATAGGTTATCAACTGGAAGTGTTAAAAAGTTAAATCTGGGTAAAATAATGTCCTTCTCTTGCTTTTGAATATTTATAAAATGCTAAAACATTGACAGCTTTGGATATGCCATGAAATGAATACAAACGACAAGAAGAAGTAGCTCAGCGAGAAATCAACCATACTCTGGGAGATGAACATTCTTGATCTAAAACTCTTTCCTATAGCTTTACAATCGATAATCCCTCAAAACATTCGAACAATACATTTCACCATTAATATTAGAACAGCTTACGATGGTATCTTCATTTACAACAAAGTTTGTCTATTCCTCTCCCATTTCAACGGCACATATTGACTCTTATCCTTTTGGATTCCTGAAAGCAGATAGAAATCAACAAAAGAGTCCTTGGAAGGACTGTATATCGGTTTATCTCGGAACATTTTCAATCACGAAAAAGGGGCAATCGAAGATCTCATTCAAGAAAATTATACTTTCCTACATGACCCATGCTCTACCTTTAAAATAGCCTAGTTCCCAAGCTTTACAAGAGGTAGATGTTAAAATAAACTCAATATAAATAAGTTTGGTTTACATGAACGTTATATTGTATTTTTGATAGGCGGATGAACCTTGAAAGCAAGAAATAATTCACAGTAATACATTTGGTGTAAGGAATTCAAAAGAAAGATCAACTTACTCCATCCTCAATTAAAGATTGTAACCAATCTTTATAAAGTAAACGTTCACGATATTCTGATGTGAATGGACCCAAATAACATAAAAATGCTGATGCTAATAAACTGTCCCCCAGAAGAGATTTTCGTTCGTTTGCCAAACTATCAATCTCACTAATCCACCTATATGTAAGAAAAAAGTGGTATATTCATGCATGTTTTTGGTTATATAGTAATCTTATCGGTGTAACAATAATGAGAACATATAAAGGTTTGAACTACACAATTAAAACTCTATTTACGCAATGATGAGGACTTACAGGTTTTCATCAGCATCATATAAGGTTTAATCAGGTAATTGGTGTTTAGTAAATGTACGTACCTTCATGTAAGGACTTTACTTAACATTTCATTTATACAGTCTATTTTGCCATTATTTTCTCAATTTGGTCAACATATGGAAATATCTCTTATTACCTGTTATTTTAATCGGGTTAGGTGGTCAACCGGTGGCTTAGTCAACCATGAAGGAACATTGTATGAACCATTATTTAGCTAGTGATGTCTCATGATCTAACTTACTATGCATAACTGTCTGAACTAATTGAATTCACAGTCTAGGTATGAGTGTTCATCATTTCATGATAGGTGTAAAGGTATTTCGGTCCAGTATACCAACACAAGTATAAATAAACAACTGATACCTGCTTCACGAGAGATGAATGTCATGCATCGATGGTCTAGTGGATAACGCTACAGCTTTTAGAGCGAGCGATACTGGGTTTGACTACCATTCAGACTACAATCACACACTGGCAAGCAAGCACATTGAGCTGACTGGTCTCAAGCAGAATGGAGTATGCTTCCTGAGTCCCTCTGCTAGCCACCAACTTGAATAACAGAAAGTGGGTGGTTCCCAATAGGAAATCCTTTTTACATCAAAGTTGGGGAGTTGAAAAAATGCTCTACTATGAGAAATGTCAACATAAACGGTTCCATTTCTAAACCATTTGCAAATTATTCATCCTAAATACAAGGTATGCTGTCCTATGAAAGTCAGCTAGCTAGAATAATGTGTTCTGAACAATTCAGCTGTGTAAGCTAACTTTTCCCGGGTATACTGCTGATAAGCTAGTCCCCAAACAAGAAAAACGGTTGTCCAGTTTCCAGATAACTCTGATCTGGTTGACAAAATCCATAGATCAGCCCGATACTATTCAATTTGTTCAGTAGTATAGTACGAGAAAGTTTCGTTTTTTTTATTTATGACGCTGGATGATAAGATGGTACGAATAAGTATGAAACGCTTTTGAAGAGAATAAACGGATTTATGTTAGTATTAAGTTAAATTAAGTGATCTTGGTGTAAATGACTGAATGGTAACAGTAATGACACTCAATGGACACCTTCTATGCATAAAACATTGAGTTATTGATAATAATTAAGTTGTGATACTATGATTAGTAATCCAGTTCAGTCAGATATAATCATGTAAATGATCAATATCAACACAGACACAACTACTTACATTTTCAATGTAGGCAATACAGTATAGCAAATAAACTTTGAGACTAGACTATAACTGCTTCAGAAAAGAGATTTCATGAGTGTCTTACTGAAGTTACTTAATAATTTAGGTTATATTTTAAAGTCTAACTAACAGATATTATATGAAAAAAGAAAGACAAATTAAGTGCATATTATATTTGACAGAAGTTTCATGCTGCCTCGTGAAAGTAAATACTGGATTTCTAATTCATTATCAATATGCATGAAAGTTCGTATTTCTTCAATAAAAATTTGTAATACAAGAAAAAACCTCCAGACATAACCTTAGTACTTCCATGAGAGTAAGCTTGAAAACTTGACTACTATAAATATGATATCCAATAAAAACTAACTTGCAATACTAATTTTTCATTAGAAAATCAAACAACGATCAATTGTTACAAAACTTCCTTTTAAACTTCAGTGAATTCGTCTGTAGGTGAATATTTCAGAATGAAGAAAGTTATCCAGAAATGCTTTTAAAAAACTTTATACATGATATAGTTAAGTTTGATTTCCATACTGAATGTATCTTATCAGAACTCAATTTCATATATGTGGTCAGTGTATGAAGCGTTAAGTTAACTCAACTTACAAGGTAATACGTTACTTCTGTTTATGCTGTCAGACTTGTTATCGGCATTTTGATCTCAGAATATCTTTATTTTTACTAACTTTTCTTTACGAATACATACATAGTACTATTCGAAAATGCCGGAATATATAGAACATATCCCAGGGAAATGTGAAAACTAAATGGAATCTGACAAGACCAACTACCCATCCAGTTCAAAAGGAAAATCTATGAAGTAGAAAATCTTTATAGACTCAACTAATACTGATTTCCTGAAACTTTTCAAATGAGCCAATAGCTCATCGTAAAAAAAAGAACGAAAGTCGTTTATCAGTCTCTATACAAAGGTTTACTTTAAAAACTTGATTTAGGATGAATGTCTGTAGTAAGGGGGTGGGGTGTACAAATCACTGAATAGAGCTGTGCAGAATGGAACACTCAGAAGACGCTAACGTTTAGATCGATCTCATTCGGAAGGCAGCTATTCAAGTAATTAAATATCAACCATATGGTGAGAAATCATGAAATTTTCCATCGAATAAAGGGTCACAATAAACAGTATATCAGCTGACATCTCTTATATGTGGTTTGGGTTGTTCCAAAAACATTGGACTCTCATGAAGACAATAATTTGTTCTTCCAACGATATTACTAACTAGTAATTAACAGTGTAAGAAGATGATTTAAAAAATACGATAGATTACATCAGATTATATCTTACCTTCGAATATATAAAATATTAAAAAGGGCTTACCGTTCTTTTTCAGAACCCAATCCATCCGTCAATTTTTGTGCAGCTAATAACTGTCGTTTCATAATATTCATTGTGTTTGTTAAATTTTCCATCTCTGTTTGTGTAGAATCAAACTGGTGCCTTAATGAAATCAGCATATTCTCCAAGCTGGTCACTTCATTCTGCAATTTTTGTAAATCTTTTTTAGCCTTATTAAATTCACGTTCTAACGCTTTAACACGTTCCCTTTTTGGACGAATATCTCTAGTCACATCATGAAATATGATAACAGCTAAGATAAACTTATAAAATCCACCACCAGCTTTACTAGCTGACTTGACGTCTTCATAAGTGAATTTCGCTTAACAATTAAGTCTAAATATCAGATTACAGAAATGCAAGAGTAAGGTATACTATTTCAGTTATCCTTAATCCAATGTAAGCTAATAAAAAAGTTTATTGTGATATGCAAGTTTATTATGAGAAATAAATATCATGCGGTTTACTCCGACCTTAAGGTTTGAAGTAGTAAGTCAATGAAAAAATACCGCTTTAACATTTGATGATGATCAATATCGAGTAAGTCAGAGAAAAATTCGAAGGCCCTATTACTCATTGAATACTGACTGGTTTGTTAAACGGTGTGATGTATTGAATGAATTCACTTAAAAAGGATTGATATATTTTCTACACAGAATGAAAAGTGACTTCTTTAAAAATTTAGGAAATACTTTTGAAAATAATCTTACATTTAAATTGTTTATTTGTGAATCCACTGGTCTTGGCTATTGTTAAATGTATTCACTTCATCTAATGGAAAGTAATACTGAACGTTTCAGCTATGAGTTTACAGTAATTAAGAATATGATGATTTGTATATCGTGTTGTGAGTAGGTTTTCTCAACCTCATTTTTCTTCAAAAAAATTTATTGAATTGAAGAATTATGTGCAAAATACTTGCAGTTCATGTTTTGGTGTCATGCTGGATATTATCAACAAGATAAATTTACAAAGGAGATAAATAGAAAAATATTATGAAGAATTCAACTTAGTTGGGAAAATCTTAGCCTTACAGATCAAGGCAACTTCATCATTTCAATCGAACAAAGGTGGATAGGTCTTCCTTATTTTCACTATCGAATTCGAACCAAAAAGACAATGCATTGATAATGAAACAGCTTCAGTGTACTTCTGAATAAAAAGTGAGATCAGTCAGTCACATAATTACAACACCAATTGAAGTATATATATATCATACGCAAACCCACTAAAAATGTTTTAGTGTGCACTTCAAGACATATAGGTGTATAAATCACGTAACATTGTCAGTTCTGAACATTTGTGCATATCAAAATTAATTACTTCCTTTTATTGTTATAATGGCAATTGATAAGAAATTAAAGTCCGTTAAACTCTACATCTGTAATATCGAACTTTTATACCCAGATCATTTGCGTCCTATGATGGTTAAAATTAATGGGATTAAAAAGAATTTAATCCACATGTTTAAGTTATCGTAGTCTTGATTGTATTGTGTTCTCTGAGATGAGTTGTTTAATCATGAAGCTTTCATCGTCTTTCTGGACGACATCATCAGCACTAACTTCAGTATGAAGTCATCTGTCAATATCTCTCCATGAGTGATTTAGTAACTTGCCTTGATGAAGCGGTTTATGATTGGTTGTTTCCTTTGATTGTTGTGTTATTGACAGAGTAGATTTTCCTGTTGGCTGTCCCTCTGCTTGACCCCTCAACTTTCTGTCGTTTATCATTTTTCTTATTGGTTGATAGATTGGGTCTATGTCTATACATCTATTGATTGCTGACTGACCTGAATGCTAAGCTTCTAGGAATTCTCTGACATTCTTTGTGTTTCCTCTCTCCGTCTAAAATTTCTACATTGTCAGAATTGGATTCATGTCCATAATTATCCACATGCATTGGACAGAGGAAACACAAAAAATATCAGAGAATTCCTAGAAACTTAGCATTCAGGTCAGTCAGCAATCAATAGATGTATAGACATAGACCCAATCTATTAACCAATAAGAAAGATGATAAACGACAGAAAGTTGAGGGGTCAAGCAGAGGGACAGCCAACAGGAAAATCTACTCTGTCAATAACACAACAATCAAAGGAAACAACCAATCATAAACCACTTCATCAAGGCAAGTTACTAAATCACTCATGGAGAGATATTGACAGATGACTTCATACTGAAGTTAGTGCTGATGATGTCGTCCAGAAAGATGATGAAAGTTTCTGCACGATTAAACAACTCATCTCAGAGAACACAATACAATTAAGACTATCCATCTGAGCTACAAATATTCTCCACTATTTCAAAATTATAGTAGTTTTTAACAGTTCGATAGAAATGGGTCAATTAAAAAGACAGGAATATGAAAACGACATAAGACAATAAAAGTAAGAAAGAATTGAAATGAACAAATTTATAGTGTTTATACTGTCAACAATGTTTCTAATCACTATTATACAGCGCACATAACTAATAGCTCAAGCTATCATAAAGACCTCATACAAATAGTCGGTTACATTCACCATTTCGCATCACTCTTGCATGACTCAAAAATGTTACAGGTTGAAGTGTATGTAACAAACCAACTAGTATACAACATACCTTTTATAGCAATGATATTTTTAACTGGTATCTGTTCAATATCCATTTGTTGTAAGGTATTAATGAAATTTGCATCAGCCATTAACCCTCTAGCAGCTTTCCAACTAATTTCTCCAGACTGTAGAATATGACAAAGTGCTTCACCGACAAACTGTACCTAAAGTTATCAAGGTATAATCATTCTTAGTATAGAAAAAAAAGCTTAACTATCAGTGTAACAAGTACATTAAGTTCATTCACCACAAGATAGAACTTTCAAAGACAGTGGATTAGATCCAGTTATAGAGTACATAATAAAGTGTCATGAAGTGCATTGTTAAGCCGTGTAAGACTATAGCCCATTTTTTTTACACAACATAATATATGGATCATGTAAAAGTCTCCTTCCTTAATCACTTGCTTTTTAATAAATTCCCAACAGTATTTCATGTTTAACTTTTTTTATAAATAGACAGAAATATACAGACTTCAGCAGAGACGAGATACCTTGACAAGTAATAATTTATTCCTCTAAAATAACACTTCTTTTCTTCACTTCTTTAACCACCATATATCCTATTTACAACGCATCTGTTGAAAACTAAATGTATACCATGACGATGACTGCGTTCCTTAATTTCAGTTCTTTCATTTATCTTAGCTTTAAAACTTTCGGATGCAAACCATTCTATACCTAGACTACCATATTCAACAGACATATGTTTTCTTAGTATAATTCATTAAAAAATGCTAGAACATACTGTCATCTTACTGTTTATCAAGAGAAAGTACACACTGGTACTTAATATAAAAAATTTGGTCTACTTATTTATTATATTATTATTTACTTATCCTTGGGTTCCTGATCAAACAGAGGGCTTCAGTAGCACGTCTCCAGTGCACTCTGTCCACTGCAAACTTTTGAACCTGGCTCCACCACTGCCCACAAGCTCCCATTTCTTCCTCCCTCACACGATCTCCTCCACTTCACCCTCACCTCGGACGCCTAACTCATCGTTTCCCATCTGCGTTCCACTCGAGGGCCTGGCGCGTGATGTCCCCAGTCAGCCTTCTCAGTGTACGCCCAATCCATCTCCATTTCCTTCTACAGATTTCTTGAGCTATAGCTTCTTGGTTGGTTTGTCACCAGCCAGCCAGAGTTCCTTGTTGTTTATTCTGATTATTCTTGCCATCCAATATTCACTAACCAGACGGCGTAGGCAGTTGTTGATGAATGTCTGTAATTTGCTGGAAATCCCTTTCGTAACGCGCCAAGTCTCTGAACCATACAGAAGCAATGACTTGACGTTGGTGTTGAAAATAGGGATATTGCTCCACATGCTGAGTACAGAAGATCTCTACACTGGTTTCAGGTTAATGAACGCCTGTCTTGCTTTCCCAATCCTAGCTGCTTTGACGTCCTCGTCTGTGCCACTTGTAGTTGGGACAGTGTTGCCTAGATAGGTGAAAGAGGCTACTTCTTTTGGATTTCTCCCGTTCATGGTGATTTGAGCTTATTGTTGTTGTTGATGTTGTTGGTTGGGTATCTTCATCACCCCCGTCTTCTCTACATTCACTTGAAGTCTCGTCTTTGCCATAACTTGCCTCTTCTGTTAACTTGTTAGTTTTCGCCTGTAGATCTTCAAGTTTGTGTGACATTAGACAAAATTAGTCATCGGCGAAATCCAAATCTTCTTCTGGGGTCTTTTCATCGGTCCAGCCAGCGTATGCCCATCTTCTCGCTCCTCGCGGTTTGTTGCATGATCCAGTCCTCCACAATCAGGAATATCATGGGTGATAGTAGGCAGCCTTGTCTTACTCTTTCCTGTCTTCACTTCAAAAGCATCACTGAGCTTTCCATTGTGAATTACTTGGCATGTGACGTCTTCACATAATTGTTGAATGAGGTTGATAAAGGTTTGTGACACTAAAACAGAAGTGTGGAAGCAACTGGCTACTAAATTACTTCTCTGTCGACGCTGTCAAAATACTTTCCAAATTCGATGAAATTGTGATGAAGAGTTGACTGCCATTCTATACTCTATTCTATGATGATGCGAAGCATTGCAAGTTGGTCCGCACATGATTTATACTTCCTGAATCCACCAAGCCAGCCTATTCCAGTCATAGTTTTGAATCCAGTGCATACTTTAGTCTCTCCAGGATGATGAGGCTTAATAGTTTGCCTGATTTGGGTGGAAAGGAGCGTGATTCCGCGTCAGTTCTTGCAAACACTAAGGTCGCCCTTCTTTGAGAGTTTGACAAGGTAGCCCCTTCTTCCAATCAATAGGCAGGTGCCTTCCTTTCCTTCCAGACCTTCTGCAATAGAAGTGGTGTGAGCATGTCTACTGTTGTCTGTGAGTCTGCTCTCAGTGCTTCAGGCGGGATTCCATCTGGTCCTACTGCTTTCCCGCATTTCAGTAGCTTTATGACCCTCAGGACTTCCACTTTTGCTGGGGAATTTGTGTTCATTTGTAGTTCTGTGAATGGGCTGCAGGTGGTATTTCTGGACAAGTTGCACGTGCTAGTGGTGGTCGATTCAAGAGTAGTTTGAAGTGGTCAGTCCATCGTTTCCTTTCCTTCCGCTCTTTGGTAATTATATTTCCTTCATCATCTTTTATTGGTCTCATGTGTGTTGATCTCTTCCCTACCAGATAGTAACTTGGCTGGTTATTTGATATAGTTTTATCAAGTCTCTGTCTCTCCTACCAGTGGCCTGTTCTGCTTCACTTGCCAATGTGTCGTAGAAGTGTCTTTTGTCTTTGCACGCACTCTTCTTCACTTCTTTGTCCAGTGTGGTGTTTTACACATTGTACTCAGTTCTACTTTTCGTTGTGGATCCTTGCACTGGTTCAACTTCTGTTTCACCATTTTCCTCTCCTCTATCAGCTTCCATGTGTCCGTCGAAATCCATTCCTTATCTTCTTTCTTCTTCCTTCCTAATACGATTGTGCGGGTTTCCTTCCACACAGCTTTTAAAGAGTTCCAGTGCTCATTCATAAAGGTTTTTTCAGGGATGCTGCTCGATATCTTCCATTTTGTCTTGATGGCTGACATGAAGATGTCCCTGGTAGTTTCGTGCTTCAGTTTACGGGAGTTGAACTTGAACTGTAGTCTATCACCAACTTCCTTGAATGATTTCAACTTGATTTGGAAGGTTCCTTGCACTAGATAGTGGTCTGAGCCTACGTCTGGTCCTCTTCTTGATCTTGTGTCAAGTAGGCTGCGTCTCCATTTTCTTGAGATTGAGATAAAGATACTACTTATAGGGAACTTGAAATCATTCCTAGCCACTAGGTAATAACAACAGTCATACTATCTAGTCCCGAATCCCACCGATATTGAACACATCACCTTTTATGACATGACCACTAGTTCGAACGGGTCGATAATGTAGTGTGTTGTGTTCTTCCTTTTTTTGATTTGAGGTAATCAGTTCAAAGTTTATACTTACAAGTACTCACTTTTTGTGTGTATTTTCAACGTTTAATTACTCACACACAGATCTTCATACTTCAATAACTGATACCCAAAGTTCAACCAAGTGGAGCAATGCCTAACCAAACAGACTGTTAAGTTGCAAAATCAGTAACTTTGGAGCTAAGTGATACAACTTCAAATCTTTGAGTTGCTGAAGTGAATGAATATGCACTTTACTGGTAACAGTGAATAAATATGGTACACTGATCCAAAGTTTCATGATGATCGTTTTGCACCATCGTAATTTTTACAATGAGCATTCACTATGAAAATAAATGCAGCCTAAAAATATCACTTTTCGGAACTCTCATTTTTACCTAATGATTTGTTCATTATTTTCAAGCAAATACGTAAGATCCATTCAACGCTATATGTGAAGTAAACTTTTGAATACTGACCAAGGTGACTGATAGAAAACATTGGAAGTAAGCAACTCCAGCTGCTGTTGAGTTTTGAATACTTGAACCTAAGCAGTATTCCAGTCAAAATAACTCCAAGACTATGTCCAAAGCTTTTTTTACAGAAAGGGCGTCAATAATGTGTAGCTCAGTCACCAATAATTTAAACTCAAAAACCTGATCCTTGTGTATAAATTAATGTGACATATTCTAATCCTTTGAATGGTTGCAAAAAAAAATGTCGACTTGTTTCCAAATTATAAATCTAACTTGAAAGGTTTAATAATTTATGTCCGGTCTTCTACCTTTACGATCCACTTTCATTGTGAACTATTAAATAATATTTTGAGGGAGTTGTAGAAATTTGGACATATTTCAAGTTGTTATTCATCGGTGACCGAAATCACTTGGAGAAACAAAGGAAACCTGGGAGCACTGGACAGCTGTTTCGTCCTGAAGGTCACGGGTTCGATCCCTGTCGGGGTCGTGGGTGCGAAGTGCTGAGGAGTCCCATACTAAGACATAAAAACAGCTATCCAGTGCTCCCGGGTTTCCTTTGTTCCTTCAACTGACGTGAGTCTACAGTGAATAACAACTGAAATATTAAATAATACTTAGTTCAAGGATGACTATGAATCAGTTAGTTGTAATCAAAAGTAGTATCGACGGTAAAGTGTTTTCAACCTCTCTCTTTTTTTGTCACAGCACAAGATTTTCATTTCACTGTTTGCAATCTGCACAGCTTTAGATTAAAATTCTACAAAAAATCTAGGAGTGATGAAATTCAAGTTCCTTTCGTTATAAAATTATCATCACTATACTTTAGAATCTGTTTCTCAATCAGTACAGAGGCATCATCAGTAAAATTCATATTCTTGGGAAAAAAATTTTCATAACAACTATCTTTATAAAATAACCGAATAAATGAATAATCAGAAATTGATTGCTCACAGGTTTTGGTGGTGTTGTAAAAGCCCGAATTTCAGTGACATCATTTTTCTCCAATTCATCTAAAGCAGCATGAGCTGCTTCAACACCTGGTAGGGCTTCAGCTAACGCTGCTTCAGCTTCAGCCTTTTATTCAAATATATTATGGAAGATATATAGATTATGTACATTTGTGCATAAAATTTCTTTGTTAGGATAAGAACAATTTAATCGATATCATAAAAAAATAATATGGAAAAGACACAAAATTGTCTGCTAACTATCAAAAGTTATCAGAAACAGCAGTATTAATAGAATTAATCTTTAACGATGATGCGAATCTTGTAAACGCTTGTTCTGGCAATAGATATTTTTGTTTCATACTTTTAATTAACTGGAATTATAATGATTTGCTCAGTGGTGGTCAGTAGTGGAATCCATAATCCACTTTTCGTCCTATTTAGGACTCCTCAGTTGCATGCATCCCCACCCCAGTGAGTGATACCACTGAGGCACAAGAAGCAACTCATGTACAACGGGTATAGTAACTGATACCCGTTGTAATATGGGTGGTTCTCCCCCCTCATTGACTGAGTGGATAATCCTCGATTGTTTGAAGCAATCGGTACTGAGTTCTTATGTTTGTGGGAACAGCATCACTCAGATATATCCAACTAACGTGTCCCAAATATAATGAAACGTACACCATCAAGCAAATTACGACATAGCCAATAATCAGGCAACACAGAGGCATCTGCATAGGAGCCCATATATTAACAAAGTTCTGTCAATTCCATACAGAATAACAACCGGAAATTACAGGTATCAATCAATAACTGAAGTACAGTAGTTTGCAAAATACGGATTACAAGGGACGAACTGTCAGTTATCACTGCCGTAAAAGATGAAAACGACCATTCATCGTTTATTATACTGCAATCTAACTAACCAATGAGCATCACTGTCTGTCCTGGACTTTATAGTGGTACCAGAGAATTCAGCTATCCTTGAGTGTTTCGTTTCATGATCTCCACCTGTCTGTCTGATTTCTGGACTAATAAAAATTTAGTATGCAACATCTAAGCAAGCATTCAGCAGAATTAAAAGAAGTCGAGTTGAATTTGATTTCACGTTAGCCGATTCCACACGTTTCTTCAGGCATCAGCATTACTGTGAAGCGGCTCACACCAGGTTATCACTTAGCATTAGTATACATACCATAATACCAATTCCGTAAACCCTATTAAACAATTAAATAGGAGATAACATACCTTAATGGCTCATAAAACAGAATGAGATTAGACCTAATATTCTCCTTTCAAGGCTGGTGATAACTATTTAATGTTTTATGAGTTAATTTCAAATTTTTGTGCGCTAAAATCCAGACAGTAAAACTTCAAACCCGATTACGTTACCCTTATTCATAGTTTGAGTTCTTAGACAGGAGCCTGAGAACCACAACTAGTATTAATGACAGGGGAAATTCAACATTTGTATAATGGGACCTGAGCACTAAGAAATGTACCAACACCGTACTTGCTTAGGTACTGAGCTTCGAGCCAAGCGTATTAAGTGACATTATATAATATTACCCTTAAGAGTAGGTCTAAAGTAGGTAAAACAAAATTCGGACCCACGATTCATCACCTGAAGAAAGAATCAAGGTGGGAACAACATCACTGCTCACTGGGAGGCAGGTACATCCAACTGACGAGTCTCAAATAGGACGAAATGCGAATCCTAAATTCCATTGCTAGCCACTATCCATCTTTACTCTGGGATTATACGAAAATATCCTCTTATAATGGAGACATGATTTGTCTGAATAATCTACTACACATGCAAAACACATTTTGAAATATGTGGACAGGTATGCACTTACACATTTTCATGAAAGAGAGTAAACATTTAATGGAAAGTGAGAAGATTTCAAATGCGAAGGATAAAATGATGACTGGAATGATATTATACTTGTAATGTTACTTCATTATTGTATTCATATGATTCTCACCCCTACTTGAATATAACTCATCGCTTCATAATGATTATTTAATCCTCAGTAAACAAACATTCAATACATTCTCATTTGACTATTTGATATAGCAGTAGTTTGGCAGATTAGTAGTGATGATTGAAGGTGAGATGAAAATCTGGACCGCGGTTGGATTCGAACCAGCAACCACCCGGTGGTCGCCCAGTATAAATACATTCATATCCCATATGTATGTACATAAATGAATCATTTTGCCCACTTATATCATGATCGTTCTACTCATACTGATTTCATTGCACAACTAACACATGAGACTGATTAATGTTCCACCTTACATCATATCTGATCTGATCTCCACTCACCACCCATAACACTGACTGTTTCAATACTAGGACGATTTTACGTTATACCTTAAACTGGCTTAGGTCTTGAAGAGGCAGCTATTGAAAACAGTTTTTCACTCAAATTACTTTTGTTCTGAATGATCTATGGGGATCTATATTTACCGATTTCCTGTTGCTACTTTAGCCATTATTTGTTTGATCTTTTCTCACTCTCCATTCAATTTTTAATGTCTTTCATAAAGATATCCAAGTGCGTATATGAATGGATAACTTGAAATGTTTAACCAATTTCATGTGTGTGGTGAGCGAATTCCGCCTATTATTTCGCAATATAGTCACCAAAGTAGAAAACTCATCATCTTGGTGCACTTTGATCTATGTTAATTGTTTGCTGGTGTTAGACAAGAAGCCTTGGACCAAAGTTTTGTGTTTGTTAACACTCGTCAGAAATGCGTATCTGCAATCTCAAGTGAATTGATGTCCCGTCAGATATTTATACCTGTTCCAGTCAATGCTGTTATTCCACCCGAATACTCCAATGGTAAAGTATGTGACTACAGCTCTAAGTGATGAAGGCTCGTATCACTTAGGAAACATCACATGCTTCAGATACACCTTGCTGACGCGTGACAAAAAATACAAAGCCTAGATCCAGGGTTTCCAACCAGTCGACCGCAACCAACTTACAAAAGCTCCATATTTTCAATACATGTCTCTGAGAGAATTCCATTTCAATTAAAACGGGTGTCAGTGGCGTGGATCATGAACATTCCTAGTTTCATTACTCCTAACTTCTAAAGTACTTACGATAATGGAATTAGTGATAACTAAACAATGAAACTTGTACTATGCGACGAAGTACACTAGAAAACCACATAAGGAACATCTAAACATAAAAAAGTTATTTTACATTTATCAAAAGCAGCGTATTTTGAATTTAGTTAAATTTTTTGCAATGAAAAGCTTTAAAAGTTCAGTTATGTTTAACTATAAATTTTCTTCATTTTGGAGGTTTGTAGGGATTTGTTAATTTCAAGTTGATATTCATCCCTGACCGACATTAATTGGAGGAACATTGGAAATCCGGGGGCACTGGACAGATGTTTTCCCTCAGTACAAGACTCCTCAGCAGTGCGCACCCATGATTTCACCCTCCAGGGGTTGAATTTAAGATCTTCAGGTTCCATGATCATTACAAATGAATACAATATTACCTTTTCAGAATTAATAACTTGTGCCTGTTCAGCCAATTTTATGGATTTATCTTCAGCTTGTTTCTTTTTCTCTGTAGCAGCTATAGTCGATTCACTAATCTCAACCAACAGTGCTTTACATGAGATAGTTTTCTCTTCCAATACAACCTTTTGTACTCCAAGGTTAGCATTCAACTGTTCAATTTGTATACCAGTTTCGTGTAATTTATCTAAACTAATTTGTAATCTTTTCTGTTGAGTAATATTCTCTCTAAAACAATCATTTAGAATATAAAGTATAGTAACATAAGTGATTATACATGAATAGTACTACTGAAAGAAGCAAAAGACAAGTATGCAGGAAGGAATGGGACAGTAGTCGGTACACGTTGCACTAAAACCGTCATTTGGAAAATATGCTTCTTTCTTCATTTGTTCTTCATACTCTTGCCTTGTCTCTTGCCTTCCTCTTAGTGGAATCCTTACCCATTCTATGATTTCTGCCAACTTCTCAACACATACTACTTATATCCATTCTTATCAGCAACGCTAACTACACTACTGCTTCTATACGTATCATTATTATCGTCGTTAAGAAACGCTTTAAGTCAGTGTGGTTATAAACACTCATCAACTAAGGTGACTAGATCATTAGTTGCATATACTGCAGTGCACAGCTGGATAAGTATTAGGTTGGGAATTAATTAATAATGACAACAGCACGACTTAACATCGATTTACAAAGCCTCTAAGTAATGGTCTGTGTAGTGCAGGCTTCTAAGTTGAAGTTCATGAAACAATTGAAAGAATTGGATGAAGAATCTATCTTATATACTTCAAAATCGATCACTTCGGGAGAGATTTAATAATGCCTAATCTTCATATAAACCAAGTATCATATTTATTCTTCGATATTTTCTTAATGTTTGATAATGTTATTTCTTTACCTTCCCTCTGCTTAACCTGCACCTCGATATTTATTATCATTATTTGTTCCATAGGTTCCTAGTGGAATATACGGCTTCAGTAACACATCACCATTCCCCTCTCTTCTCCGAAGTCTCTCGAACCTGGCTCTACGACAGACCATGATCTTTCATTTTTCCCTCACACCATCTCCTCCATGTCGCCCTCGCCTGGAATGCCCAACTAGTCGTTTCCCATTTGGCTCCTGCTCGACGGTTTGTCCTGTTCTGGCGCGTGACGTCTCCAGATGGTCTTCTCAGTCTGTCCAATCTAATCCAATTCAATCCATCTCCACTTTCATCTTCTGCATATTTGTTGGACGATGGGTTCTTGATTCGTTGGTTCGTTGCCAGCCACAGTGAATTCCTCCTTGCTTATTCTTCTAATTATTCTGACCATCTCATCTCCATCTTCACTATCAGTGTCAGTATCGAGTCAGCGTAGGTGGCAGCTGTTAATGATGTATGTCTGCATTTTGTTGGAAATACTTTTCGTAACGCGCTAAATCTCTGAACCATATAGCAGTACTGACTTGACTGAAATTATTGTTGAAAATCCGGATCTTGTCTTTTATGCTGAGTCCAGGCACCTCAATATACTGATGTGAAATATGGCAACTTGAACTACTTTATAGCAGTCAGATAATTATATATTGCAACTACATCGCATGAACGAGAAATATTTTAATCAAATGTTTGTAGCATTCCCCACAAAACAAATATGCAAAGTATTAAAGATTTCGGTTTCAGGTTTATGGGTACTTCATTTTAAAGTAGTATTTATCACGAACTGACATCGTTTGGAGAAACACTGAGGACTTACGAGTACTGGACGGCTGTTGTGAACGGGTATAAGGTTCCTCAGCACTACACACCCACAACGCCGCCAGAGAGCGAACTTATACCCACCTACTCCGAGTCTCTCAAAGAACAACTATTGAATTGGAGTTCATTGGTTCATAGTTTCCTACTTCTGTCAATTCGTGATATGGCGCGACTATCCACCAAGCTCTTCAGCTGGTGTCCGACTGGTTGACTCTATAGGTCACAAGTTCTTTAAAGAACTATGAGATATCCGTCTCGTAACATGTCACTAATGAACACTAAACAGTAACTTTATGTCCAGGTTTATGGAGATTTTATTTCAAGACCATATTCATCACCAATTGACAATCGACTGTTGTAACACAAAATGGATCCAAATCAAATATCTCATGGAGTCTTGTACGAAATAAACGGTCATGAATGACGTCAAATTTTATAACAGTTAACGGAAAAATTTATCTGATTATTTGATTGTATACATATCACTGTTAATAGAACTTCATACTGACGAACATTCGTTTCTTCTCTACTAACCAACTGTGGATACGTAACTACTGAACCTAAGGGGAGAAAGTCAACAATGTTGGTATTCTTCGTTCACTTGATTATGTTTTAAACGATAATTTCATCATTTATACTACTTAATCCGGAGTTCAGTAGAATGATAACTAAAGAGTAAAATACTCCACTTAAAACCACACATGTAAATTTCTGACTGCGCTGATCGATACGATTAACTGAACACCATTCATCCAAATAAGAAATTGAAATATATAGCCTTGACTTAGTAGATTTTTAACAGGAGCCACTCTGAATGAATATTCAGAATGATGAAAATAAAAAACGAAACAATGGCTGAAAAACATCCTGAGCTTCCTAAGTAACTAACAGACTGCTTATCTAGTTTGAGTTATAACAGTCAGCGGACATTATGTCAAGTCCCTGGTGTAAATATGAAATATTATTAAAACATTCAAGTTATTTGTCAGAATTTTCAGCTATGATATAAACAAATCATTCTACAGATAAACCCAAAGAGCTCAAATGTATCGACGTTAAGTCCTAAAACTATATTTAAGGATTTCAGGTTGTTATTCATCATGGAATGACATCAGTTGGAAAAATATTGGAAACCTGAGAACACTGGACAGCTGTCTCGTTCTAGTGAGGAACTCCTTATCAGTGCGTAACCATGACTCCATATGTCAGGGATCGAACCCACGACCTTCAGGTTCCGTGACCAGCATGTCATCATCCACCCACTGGGTCGAAATCCAATGGTCCATATTTCTTACTTCTATCAGTTCACAATATAGGTCAACCTCTATCCAATGCTTTCGCTGTATAACCGTCCTCATGTTCGACTAAGTTGGTCGCACTAGCCACGACTTCTCCCTGGAACTTCAAGAATCACCTCTAAAAGCTAGTCACCAACGAGCACTAGACTAATTCAATTTTGGGGTTAATGGCGATTTACTGATCCCAAGCTGGTATTCATCATGGACTGACATCAGTTGGAGGGACATCGGAAACCTAGGAACGCTGGATAGGTGTTTCGTCCTCATATGGGATTCTTCAGCTGTGCGCACCCATGACCCTGCCAGGACGAAACAACTGTTAAGTCTTTCCAGGTTTCCAATATCCTTCCGACCGACATCCGTCCATTATGAATACCAATCTGACATCAGTAAATCACTAAAAAACCTCCAAGTTTAATGGTTCGTTGGACTGTTTATAGAATGAAACATTTGTCTTCTTAATTATTCGTTCTCTTGCTATCTATAAGTACAGGATGTTACAATTAAGGTACAATTAGGGTTTCAGCTAACTTCCTTTCCGAGTGTCATGTACATCTGGAATAATTATCAACAATGCTTAATCTTCTCCTGAAGTGTTCCGTTAAAAATGTTGTTCACTAATCAGCGTACACACTATGGTTTCCATAAATAAGTTACTTTATCTAAAAGTTTGTCAGGTATCTCAGATTCTCTTACGGAATTATAGCTCCTTAATTTACAAATAAAGATCTTTAACTTGCAAAACAACTTGGTAATAAAAATTCATTGCCGTAAATCCCAAAGAGAAAATCATAAATTGCGATGGCAAAGTATTTGATTCTTTATGGGATATCATATGACAATAACTTATCGATATGCTGGAAAAACCCAGTAGTTTTTGGTCACCAGACTCTGAAATCCACTTCTGATACTTTTCGAACTGACTAGTTCCTACTTTCTAACGAAGTAAGGAGTTCAGGTGACATCTACCTTATTTACTTTTCCAACCAACTTAGCACGTAGAACAGAAAACATGAAATTGTTTCTATGGAATAAAGTTGGTTTAACTACTAACTAGTTTAAAATGTTAAGATCAAATAACGAATATATTTAAGTACATATTTATGATTTTCCTATTTTTGCTATGTTTATTCAACAAAAAGAATATTTCATCGTATAAGGTGTATTTTTAATTGTATTATCCTATCGTAGTATATCAGAACAACCTCGCCTAGGTAACTAGTTCACTAGTTTACTACCTGGGAGCACTGGACAGATGTTCCGTCCTGGTATGGGACTCCTCAGTAGTGCATACCCGCAACTTTCAGGTTCACTCCAACTGAAGTCAGTCTACGATGAATAACAACTTGAATTATTTCCGAATCCTCACAACTCCCTCAAAATTCGATTGAACTGGTGCTCATTGGTGACTAGCTTCTAGAGGTATTCCCCAAGTTCCAATGAGATGTAGTGATCCATGGAGTCAAGCCTGATGGTCGTGAGGACAGTTACTCAACGATGACATTGGGTGATGGTTGCCCTATATCGTCATCTAACAGAAGTTTGAAGTATGGAGCATTGGATTGTGACCCAGTGGCTCAGTGGTAACGCGCTGGCTACGGGACCCGAAGGTCGCGGGCTCGATCCTTGGGGGGTTGCGCTGATGAGGAGCCCCATCCTGCAGTGGAACAGCTGTGTAGTGCTCCCAGGTTCCCTTTATTCGTCCAACTGTCAGTCTACGATAAACAACGACTTAAAATATTTCCAAATCCCCACAACTCCCTCAAAACTCATAGATTTCTCGTAATCTATTCTTTCTCACCCTTGATGACTCACAACCCCATTATACTGTTCATAGATGAACTAAATTTCTTCGCACCCTGTTTTTGTCTCACCTTACTCGCACAACCGAAAAACGCCTTTCTGACCTATTTGTCTATTCACTCACCTGTATTACACCAACCTTTGCTCCATGTCGCTATGTAATCGGATGATTGTACCTTCCGTACCAAAACGTGAATATTAACCTGAAAACTTCATGCCAGATTAATAGTTTTGTAAAGAATCTTCCTAGTATTGTGACCGAGTGGTGGCTGTGTGCATGAGTATAATGAATACTGAAATTCAATAGACACCTCAACCGAATACCTTTAAGAATGACCTCTCTCAGTACCTTCTGCTTCATTCAGCCACGTAAAAGCCAGGAGATAAACACGGCCTGTGACTGCAAGAACAGTCACAACCATTAGTAGGCAAATACATGACATCAATGTAGTTACAAAACTCCCAGAAAGTGAAGCCATAAATAAACCAATCAGATTTCTTGTATGAGGTCGAATTTCTCCAATCAGGTTCTCATGTCAGCGCAAGCATAAATCATGACCTGAACATGATCTGATCATGACTTGAAAACAACTGCCCTATTGGCTGCCTTTTGTCGCTACGTGACACTTAGCAAGATCGAAACGTTGGGGAATGATACAAAATATACTACTCCGGGATAATACAAATAAAAATACACCTCATACGATGAGTCATACTAAGTCGGTGCTCAAGCTTTTCAAACCATCCAGTCCATTGTTGGAGAGGATACTTTCAAAAAGAATATTTAACAAATATTATTTAACAAAGAGAAACTTTGCTTACTGTATTTTCATATCTAACAATTTTAAGAATCCATTAATAAACAAAATGTAATTTGTAGTTGTTGCATAATTTAAACGTTTTAATTGACGTTGATATTCCAGTGATGCCTGTTGTACAGATATGTGAACTTTGACCACATTTGTAATGACAGCTTCTCGATAGATGGAAGGAACTAATGGACACTAAAGATGAAGCATATGAAATTTTTTGAAAGTATCGAAAATAACTCTAATAATCATGGTAACGAGTTCGCTTAGAATATGACATAAAGACTTCAGAAAAACCAATCAATCAACAACTTGTTTATGTTATCTACTCCTACCAGTCTCAAAGCGAATAGCTTAATAAGATTGTTTCTGACTGATGTTAAGCAGGTACATCCAGCTGACGAGTCCTGAATAGGACGAAATGCACATCCTGGATTCCACTGCTAACCATCATCTATCATCAATATATGCCAATCAAGACTGTTCAATCCGGTCCAATCAATGACGGTATAATACACTAACATTAAAGAGATTATTACTATTTATTGATATACTTGTTATTCTTCGTTATTTTATTGGATCGAATTGTTCAACCTCTATTGGCATATGGGCTCCTATGCAGATGTCTCGATATTTCCTGAGTGTTTGAAGCGATGGACACGAGGTCCAAGTATCAGTGGGAACAACATCACTCACTGGGGTGCAGGTACATCCAGCTGACAAGTCCCAAATAGGATCAAAACGTGCATCCTGTATTCCTCTGTTAGCCGCAACCAACCATTATTAAAGAAATTCCATAAAATTTGTTCCCTATAAACTCTAAAAGTGAATTTAACGATGAAGTTTACTGTAAAACATATATAGGAGATCTAAATTTCTAAAGTATTCATATTTTTCCCAGAAAATAACCACATATAAGCTGACACTGTTGTCACATTTCAATAGCGAAAGCAGCACCAAGCGAGTCAACAAGGAAATTAAAATATTCTAATCAGAAATTTCATAAACACTTATCAGTAAAATAGTGGTGGGTAGTGGTTAGCAGTGGAACCCAGAATGCACATTTCGTCCTATTCGGGACTCGTCACCTGGATGTACTTGCCTCCCAGTGAGCAATGATGTTATCCCCACCGGGATGCGAACTTGGGAGCGATCGCTTCGAACGCCAGGGTGTTATCCACAACACCATTGAGCCACGAAAGCCACTTCTAGAGCGACAGGTATAGTTTTAGTGCCGTTGACTGGACCAAATTGATCAGTCTCTGTTGGTATATGATCTTCTATGCGGATACCTCGATATTGCCTATGTTTTAATTATGTATAGTGGTTAACAGTGGAATCGAGGATACACATTTCATTAGTCTTAAATCAACAGTCACATACATGTCGTTTTGTAACGAATTGATTTCTCTCATCTTGAATTATTAAAATTGATGTTTTTATTCTCTATTTTAGAAAGAATCTGCTATATGCTGAAACAGTACTGTTGAAAGAACAGTATCCTTTGCAGTTTATCTAGAACTTGATTGTTATATTCCTTTTGATAGTGTTCAATTCAGTTGAACAATAAAATTTCAAATGTATGAAATGTAGGTTATCCACTTTGCATTAACTAGTTGCAATAGGTGTTTAAATGTATAAACAATCAGTCAACCATAGAGAAAATAATAATCTTCAATTCTGTACAGAAGCAATAACCATTGTGTATTGTATAAATGTATGTTGAATGATAATATATAATGTTTGAGAAGAAATATCTTACAAATTATTGAAAGGAAGTAGTAAATGAATACAATGATTTTCAATTACATACTTTTGGATCAATTAATGCACAAGCTATAGCATAAAATGCTTGTTTTGGCCATGGAAAATACCAGTCAATTGTTGTATAGTTTATCAATCCAGGGAAATTTTGACATCGTTTTCTTAATGTATCTCCAATTGGATTCATACATAAAACAATATGTAGACGAGAAGCACAATCTGAACGAAAATATCTCCAAATGATTTCTTTAGTTACATTTGTATTTATACCAGATGCTAAACCATCTAATCGAATTTTAGTTTCTGTTTCAACCCAAATTGTTTGTTGAATAGCATCCTTTTCCTCATCAGAGAATAATGCACTAATGAATCCAGTGGTTAGCATAGTATTAATTAATTCTAAAAATACTGGGATAATTTTAAAAGAGAAAAGTAGTTAAACTGAATAGAAATGCCTAAAGATTAAACATTTGAACACAGTTTATATTGATGCCATATCTTGTGATTTCTTGTCGTCGACTGGATCGAAGTAATTGGTGGCTAATGATATACGGATCTAGAATTTCAGTTTGACAGTAATGGTGAATAGTAGTTAGCAGTGAAATCCAGTATGCATGTTTCCTTCTATTTGAAACCTGTCATATGGATATACCTGTCTCTTACTGACTCATTGGGCTAGTGGTTAACATTCTAGCGTTTACAGCTAGGAGCTGTGCATTCCAGCCTCATTTGGAACAAGGAAGAAGCGTGAGTTCTGGACTTCACTGCTGACCTCTGTCTATCATCATCAGTCAATCGCTTTGTAGACCGATAAGTTTTCAAATTGAAATCTCTTTTAACCGAACCACGTACTCGTATAATATGCTGTGAGCAGTGTCAACCTCAACCAAGTAGTTTCGCGGCGTTATTCTTTCTTCCGTAGGAAAAAGACTAAGATGATTATAAAGGTAGAAAAAAAATTCATTTTGAATCTAGAAACTCTTTGATTGTCAACAAAATCCATAAGTAATATCAAAACTTATCTCGAACTACCTTTCTAAATTCCTGAGAACTGACAGATCAGAGATATGGTAGTCTATATCCTATGAAATAGGTCTCAGCCAATTTTTATTTGTCTTGCATCTTCAGTAAAAGGTACTAATGAATATAGGAAGTTTTATTTATTTAATGGAAGGTTATATCTGACATGGAGAAGATCATATGAAGAAGAAATGAAAGCTTATGAGCAGTCGTGAAGAATGCAGAGAAGAGAGTGAAATGCTGACGTGCTACTGAATCCCTATGTTCCACTAGGAACCTATGGGACAAGTAATAATAATATCTGTTAATCACCAATAAATATATCAGAAAATAAATCACTTACACTAACAACAAAATGTGAATTACCGATGAAAAAGATAATGTAAAACAAACCTGATGAGAATAGTTTACTTTTTATCAGTACTATCCAAATTGATTAACACAAAAAATTATTATAATTGTACATATTTCACTGATGAAATAAAAATCGAGTGTAAAGGGTTTTTAAGTCAATAAAACAACATTGAACATTGTGAATTATACTACTTGTCATTGACTAACTACTGTGTAATAGGTTATTAAGGAGTTGAAAACGAAGAGACTCTTTTCAATGAATTTATTTTCAAGCTGTACAATCGTATATATATGGTATTTGGAAAAAAATTATATCCTGTGAGGAAAACTAAACACTACATGGTGATGACAATAATAATAGAGAGGGTGATGACATAGGCATTTATGATTATAATAACAATTGAAGTGTGAATGATAACAAATAGATTATGTAATATATGGAATGGTTCATAGAAGGTGTATAACTCAGAAAGGGGTGAAAAAATTGTTGAAAATGGTAAATCAATTAAGTGTTATGTAATGGCGTTAGACAAGTTGGACAAGATGAAGTCGATGTTTTCTAAAAGGATTAAGACAATTAAGTGAAACAACACCGAAAACTAGTTAAAGTGAAGGCGATTATAATAACAATAATAGTGATAAAGGAAGGATACAAAGGTTAAATTAACAAAGTGGGAGAAGGAGCTAATGGGGTGGGAAAATGTTATGGCCATGATAAAGACAGTGACTGCACATACTTCTTTTGTACACACAGATCAGGTCTTAGTTGATGAATAGCTAAAGCCTCCGCTGTATATTACATAATCTATTTGTTATCATTCGCACTTCAATTGTTATTATAATCATAAATGCCTATGTCATCACCCGCTCTATTATTATTGTCATCACCATATAGTGTTTAGTTTTCCTCACAGGATAAAAGGTTATTGTCAATAATAACATGGAACCTATTCAGCAGTTTCAACAGATAAGGATAACTGAATTATCATCAACTTTTTTTTTTAACATCTTAAATCCACTTCCACCCACGATCATAATTTTGAACGCAATATTTTATTGATCTCTGAATACAGAAATAATTTCAAAGTGAAACGAACTGCTAAACAACTTCTACTTCAAATATCCATTCAACTATCACTTTGCAAATTTGTGTACTTTATCTGTAAAAATGATTTCAGCAGATTTAAGCAAAATAAGTATTTATGATAACATGATTGGTTTTGACTAGCAGAAGAATCCACCACGCGCGTCTCGTCTTACTTGGAACTCATCAGCCAGATGTACCTGCACCCCAGTAGTGTTCACATTGGGACTCGAACCTCGTACCCATGACTTCAAACGACGCCAAGGCTTTATCCATTATGCTACGGAGGAACGATAGCCACTTCATGTACAACGGATAGTAGCCACAACCAACCAAGTTATCATAATTAACATTCAGGCAATATCGAGGTATCCGCATAGGAGCCCATATGCTAATAGGGGTCGAATAATTCGATCGAATAAAACAACGGAGAATAACAAGTATGCCAATAAATAGTAAAAATAAGTATTTGTTCAAATTCTTATCTTTTCAATATTATGACTAGATCCGAGATCATTATTCAGAAATAATGTTATTTACGTCACTATAGTATATCCTACGTGTATCCAGGAAGCTTTTATTCATCATATCTGTTGTATTAGAACACACACACACAGTAAACAATTAGTTAACTGAATAAATGAAAACAGGGTGTAAATTACTTACCTTCATCATAAATATGTTCTTCAGAGACTAGAAACATGTAATTATCTTTATTAGTCGACATCATTGTATACAGTTTTTTCAAATCCTCACGAAATTCACCTTCATGATAACCACGTCTTAAAGTGATTTCATATAGCTTAATTTTTGCGATAAATGCAGCTAATTTAGCTAGACACTTTTTTCCTGATCCTGATATGCCAACTAGCAAAGCGTGTCCACCATCTAAGCGTAATATACGAAGTAATGCACTTAAGTGTTCCAACGCATCATTGAACAGTATAATGCTAAGATTACCTTCTGATTGCCGATAATCATGAAGCAACTACAGAAAAATGAAGTAAACAGTTAAATGTAACTGAGTAACGATGATCAGAATAATAAAAAAAATACTGACTTTGCGATAAAACAATCAAAGATGAAAGACTGTAAAGACAAAATCGACACCTTCAACAAGTAGTAAGCATGCTATCATCTTTACAGTGTTCATAAGGACAATGTATGCCTACAGAATTTCTTTATTGTTATCTTAAATTTAGAAAGTTAAAAGCTTTAAGTTTGAAATGCACAGAAAAAAATGAAACTTACTTCAACTGGTGAACTATGGTTCTCCAACTGATCTCACTTCACGACAAAAACTACCATTGAACTAATTATATCCCTACAAACCAACAGCTGAATTATTTTCAGTGCTCTCTGACTACTTGCATGAGGAGAGACTGATTGTTTTCGTGTTTATTCCCTAACATAGTCATGGGTGTATACTGCTGACAAGATCCAAGATAGGATGAAATGGCTTTCCAGTATTTCTAGGTTTTTAATTGTCAGTTCATGAAAAAACCATCTTGAAATCGATACTGTTCGTGCAACCTAAAGAAACTTAACTTCCTTTTCTAGTGAATATAACTGAATTCGCACAGTAAGGCTAAATGTGATTACATTGTCTCCACTTAAATGATGTCTAAAAGTAATATATGACTTAAAAGAGAGTAAGAAATTAGTCTGGAATTGAGGTTCCAACTCTTCAAGAGCTACTGTACTTAGCCAGTAATTATAAGCCTTGTAGTTTAAAAGTATCTTTGACTTTCATTTTCTTTCTACTTCAATCAACTTGGTTTCATGGATATAAAACAAACGTATTTAAGGTTGATTGAATGTGAAATGAAAATTTGGACTCCGGTAGGACTCAAACCAATGGCCAACAGGTTTCCAGCCAGATGCTTTACCAACTGAGCTACGAGGTCTGACTGCTGACTACATTTTTATTTTACTTCAATCACCAAGGGTTTTGTCCAACTACCATGAGTGGTCCGAGTCCGGCAGCTGTCCACATTTTCATCTCACCTTCAATCATCACCCAGTATAAATACTAGTCTGCCAAATTATGGCTATCTCAGATAGTCAAATGATAATAAATATGATGTTTCCCCTCTGTAATTCACTTAGATTTAGATTAGGATGAGAAGTCCCCTGACTAGACAGCCAGTGTGAATACGATCAAGCGGTATGGTAGTCGAGTAAAATCCTTGGTGATTGAAGTGAAATAAAAACTTGGTCAGCAGTCGGACCTCGTAGCTCAGTTAGTTGAGCACCGGTTCAAATTTTCATCTGACCTTCAATCTTTAACCATATATGTGTGGACACACATATATGATACTCATTGAATTTTGAGGGAGTTGTGGGGATTTGGAAGTCATGACCGGTGAGGGCAAAGCCTGATGGTCGTGAGGACAGTTACTCAACGATGACATTGGGTGATGGTTGCCCTATATCGTCAGCTAACAGAAGTTGGAAATATGGAACATTGGATTGTGACCCAGTGGCTCAGTGGTGATGTGCTGGCCACAGAACCTGGTGGTTGTGGGTTGGATCCGTTGTGGTGTGGGGTTGTGGCTGCGCACTGCTGAGGAGTCCCATACTAGTCGGAGGAAACAGCTGTCCAGTGCTCCCAGATTTCCTTTGTTGCTCCAACTGATAAGCAATAACTTGAATTATTTTTTTTCTCAGCTGTTATTCTACACTACATAAAGTTTGAGACAAGTACAGTATGGTATAGAAAAAAAACTCGTTTCTGTTAACAAACTATAACCATATTCATTACCTCTTCAACAACACCTTTGCACACTTCGTAGTCTTGCATATCGTCATAAAGTAATTCATCTTTTCACTTCCTGCTGCCCAGTAATCACCAAATAGTATTGGATCTTTTATAGCATAATCCACATAGTCAGGAAAATGTTCTTCCATCTGACTCAGTATGATCATCTAAGGTGAAATGACACAGGAAAATTCGCTTAACCAAATTTTATTTGAAAACTAAACTGAGATATCTCGTAAAACTGTGAATGAATTTGAAAGAAAGACTAAATAATGAACCAATCGGTTTCTATTGGCGTATGGGATCCTGCACGGATGCATTGATAACACCTATAACATCATAAGAAGTGACAATCGTCACTCGGTGGCGTAGTAGATAATGCTCTGGTGCCCGAGGTCATCGGTCACGAACTCGAGTCCTAGTGGGAAGAACATCGCTCACTGGGAGGCAGGTACATTCAGCTAACGAGTCCCAAATAGGAGGAAATACGCATCCTTGGTTATACTGCAGTCCACTATCCATCGCTAATATGTAATTCAATCGTTGACAATATCGAGGAATCCGTGCAGGAAACCTATCTATTAGGTCCACTCAACGACGGGATAATACAACCAACAACACATAAACATAAAGAGGATTTAAAGTTATGGATAGCAAGTTCTTCGCTAAATTTAAGTATTCGACCTTGACGATATTCACTTAGTACAATAAAGGCTATTTTCATATCAATCTTATGACCACTTTCTAATATTTTGTTTTGCTAACGAGGCAGAAGTATGTTTGTCACCTGTACTTGTAGATATGGTCATGGACGAAATACTTAGATCTGTCGAAGCACTTGCTATCTAGAGATTCAAACCCCTTCTCTGTTTTCAAAAACAATTTGGCGGTGATTTGACATTTTTTCTCCTTTTTTTTTCAGTTCTGTCATTTTTGTCTTTCTTAATTATAATTCCATTGGCTTAATTAACCTTTATACATATAAGTTATGCAACAGGTTGACGTGCGTTCAGATTGTTTGAAAGGTAATATAAAATTAATACATCACGTTTCAGATAATTCTCGTCTTCTCATTATGTTGCTGAAATCACTCACCTACATTATACTGACCTATGTTCTATATCACAATGTAATCACGATATAATAAAGGTCACCTTTTGTAGAAAAGCTTGAATATTAACCTGAAAACCCAATATTAGATTTATACGCTTGTAAGAGACTTTCTCCCCAAGATCGAAATGTTAAGGAATAATACTAAATATTTGTTTATTTTATTGTTCGTTTTGATATACTACTCCAGGATAACAAGTAAAATACACCTTATGCAATGGACAATATATTTTGTTTGATATTTAAATATTCATACTATATTACTATTTATTGACATACTTTTTATTCTCCGTTGTTTTGTTGGATCGAATTGTTTGACCTCTATTGGCATACGGGTTGCTATGCGGATGCCTCGATATTGCCTGAATGTTAATTATGATAAATTGGTTGGTAATTTGTTAAAAGTTACAATCTAGAATGTACTATTTCAATGAATAGCTGGAAATGTTATTAACTTTCGGTGCATAACCCCACATATTTTTATTTCATAGTAGTACATCAATAAAAGCCCAAAAGATACTTATAAGTACACAGATATGTATGTAAACAATGAACGTCAGCCTTTTCCCTTCACCTTATTCGAGAGATGAGCGTACTGTGTACAGAAGTTTGTTTGAATATAATCACTTTTAGTATTATTGCTTATATTATACTGTCGTTGATTGGACCGAATTGATAGGTCTCTATTGGCATATGGGCTTCTGTGTGGATGCCTTGACATTATCTGTGTTTTAATTATAGTAATGATGGATAGTGGCTAGCAGTAGTACACAGGATGCGCATCTCGTCCTTTTTGGGACTCGCCAGCTGGATGTATCTACTAGACCACCGAGCAACGATAGTCACTTCTTGCACGAACCCCGGGGAGGAGCAGCATCACTTACTGAGAGGGAAGTACACACAGCTGACGAGTCCAAAACAGGATGAAGTTTACTTTTAAGTCTCATACTCGAATCCAGCTGGAATTCAAAAACTAATGTAAAACTGTTAGGAGACGGAGCCATCATTCTTAAAGATCAAAACTTTATAATTTCAATCCTCTTAGCTTGGTGAAATACCACCAATGCTGTGAATAACATGTCCACATGAAATTTGTTAAGACAAGTTTTCTTTCTGTTTGATGCCAGTTAACATTACCAACTTCAACCATTCATCCATGTAGTAAATAAATGCACTTAGCAAAGTTACTGAAGTCTGCAACAACATGGAAAGCAAACAAGAAAGAAGCACATTACAACAACACGTTACAAACCTGATATATAATGTACTTCAGATGTAATTAATAAACGGTTATCTACCTTCAGTAGTCTCATCCAAAATATAATCGCCAGTATTTTTTTCAATCTTAACTTTGGAACCTATGAAGGTTGAAATTTCTCTTCACTTCTCAGATTAGTGTCCACCTACTTCATAAAATGATAAAGTATATTGAAATAATTACTCTTTAAATCTTTCCACTCTCTTTCTACCATATCCACCATCACTTATCAACGTCGGGAAGGCATTGACATAAGCCGGTCAGTAGGTACGTTACAGATACGTCTTCCTCATAAGTACTGGCAAGGCTAAGACGACAGGAGAATAAAGACACAATAATTATCTATATCTTAGACTTACATTGACTGCATCACAATCATTTTCATCAATCATTCTGTCTCGAAATACTCGTAAGCATTCATGCCTCCACAATCGAAGAAACGTTTTCGGTCCTTTAAAGCGTTCAGGTGAAACTTGTAACAATCCTTGTAATAGGCGTGATAATT